GTGTGAATCAAGTTGTTACTTAGCATCCAGTGCTTAACAGAATGATACCGTAAAAAGGATGATATCTGTAATGGTCAAAACAACATGGGTAGAACATTTCTCAATCAGATTGTTCCACCAGAACAACTGTTGTATAAAATAAGGTCAATAACTCAAATGCAGGTACATGTGTCTGGATATCGCCAAGTAATATGTCATCACCAGTTTTCAAGGGTCAAGGGGAGAGGACGGGGGATAGAGGCCTGTTTCTGAAAATGCTGTTCATACTGGGCTTGGTGGCAGAGATGTACAGCACACTCTTTAAACAGAATCATCATTCCTGCAAAACATTCCTCTTCTGCTTCTCTTCGATAGCAAAGATTTACAACAACATGAAACCTAACATTGAATTCATACAATTGAAGTTCATAAAATGAACTGTTTCTAATTTATATGAGGAAGAAAGTATGTTCATAGTTCACTTTGGCTGTGATGACTGGCAACCTGTCCAGAGTGTTTCCTGCCTTTTGCCCAATGACTGCTGGGATAGGCTCCAGCACCCCCAGTGACCCAGAAGGATAAGCGGGTTAGATTGTGTGCGTGTGTGAGTCTTTGCTGTAGCGCTGTGTGTTAAAACTAACCCTGTTGTGTGGAGGCTGTACATAAGTTTGGCCAGCTCTCACTGTGAGTTGGCTATATGGTGCTACATTACAGCAACTAAGAGGGTGACTAAAATAATACAGGTTTGAATTCTGTGACTTATAACTCATTGTCATTAAAGTCATTGAAAAATGATTACGATGAAGAGTTACTCTTATGGTACAAAAACCTCGAAGTGAATTTTCAGGAATATCTGTCTGATTGGTGTGAATATTCGCGAGAGATGATTAGGAGCACATTCCACTCTAACCTGTTTAAACTTCATTTAAACTACGTTACATTTCACCTCGTGTTAGTTTGTACCACTAGCATATGTGCAAGTAAGGATGACAGAGTTTTGCGCTGTCTGGGTTGGGCTGGCTTAGAGTCCAGTGCTCTAAAACTGCCTGACTCAGCTCTCCCAGAGGAGTGAGTGCTTGGGCCTGTGTCTCACAGGGATGTAAATTTCTGACTATGTCATTGGCCGCTTTGTGCTATGACACCACTGAGGCTTTAGCACTGATGTGAGAGCCAAACACTGGTTGTTCAGAGTGGGGGAGGGTTCAGGGTTCCTGATATGCAGTAAGCAAGAGAGCTGTGTTCAAGAGACATGTCTAAGCTGTGTTCAACTCACAGCAAAATCACAATGTAGACAATAAGCCAGTTAAATAACAGTGTGGGCTACATTTGTGTCTAATTTTGAGAAGCAAACCTGACACAGGTAGCCTCCACCCAGCTGAAAATAGAACTCATATGAGTTTATGTCTTAATGTCCAGGTGTTTTTTGCGGCTTGAAGGCTCAAGAATATTCTGGAGACTCTCTCAAATGTCACACACAAGGGGAAAAGGCGAGAAAATAAAACCCAAAAGGCACACTGGCGCACCCTGTGGCTGAAAGTATGAAGTGCAGACTGAGGGTCACTCCCATGAAGTATGCATAACACAAACACCAAACAAGGTTTTGGTTTCCATTGGTATATATTTTATTTTCTTGTATAATAATAACTAGTACACTACATCTACTGACTTGTATACAATCCCATGATAAGCGCTATAGCATCTCTTTACTGAACAGGTTATTGAATCACATGAAGGATGACTGAGTGAACACTGCGTGAGAAACAGAGGTGTTGGTGGGGTGGGAGGAAGACTGAGGGAGTTTCCTGATCGCATCAATCAGCTCATTTGTCAATCCCAGTGAAAGTCATATTGGACACTAAAGGGAGAATTAGGCCCAATTGCGTATCTAGATTGCATCTTGCTGATCTAGGTTCAGCTGAAATATGACTGCGGGGTGTGAAAAGCAGAAACTGGTACTAGATCAGCGCTTTTATCCACAGAAGTTTGATAAAGACCTCTGTAAAGTAGTTCTGGGCCTCTTAGGGAAGAATAAGAAAATTATTATTAGAGAAACATCGTACAAAGAATTTGGAGGACTAACTTTCTGGTCTACCATGAAAATTCGAAGTGAAATCAGTGAAATCGCTGGGCAGAAATGTTAGCTAAAACATCTAACATGCTGATCTGCATTCATGTTCAATAAGTTCTGCTTGGAGAGTCCTGAACGCTCAACAAAATGAAGCTTAGATTCAGTAGTGGACTCCAGACGCATAAGGGAGCCAAGTCTCGTCAATTCTAAACAGTCTTATAAACTTCCTGGCGAGTCCTGTATTTTCCTTGATTTTTAAATGTGTTATTCACAATCGCAGAACTCTTTGAAAAGAAAGACATGGAGAGAATAAATACACAATAAATAGGAAATAAATAACACAATTATCAATTAAATACTTAAATAAATAAATAAATAAATAAATCAGTACACAGTTAAATAAATATGGTCAAAAAGAAATGTGCAGGTGTGTTTTTGCAGCCTGGTTTCAGGGTAAGTATGTCAGGGCACCTACGGGGGTGGGGGAGGGTGTAGTAGGTACCCAAAAAAAAAACAAACAAAAAAAAAACAGCAAAGGTAATAATAACTGATAACTGTACAGAAACTGACTAAATGATTGAAAGCTCTACGTAGCGATACAACCATGTATGCACTAACCACAGCCGAAGAAAAGTAGGACCGAAGTAACGCAGTCCTAAAAGGTTCTCTACATACAGGTGCATCCGATATGGAATTGTTAACGAGACCCAGGGATACGGGAGGAGTAGAAGAGAAATTTACACGCACATCTGTGACCTCTCCTCTGCTAACGTTTTAGCATCATGCTAACGCTTCCACATACAAAGCCTAACGTAGTTATAGTGAGGGATATACAGTGCATAGTTTACAGCCAGAGCTTGCAGTTTTTAGACCTTCACACGTCAGCATCCCGGCATACGTTACAGTTATAATACACCGTTTAGAAAAGCACACAGTCCCGTTTTCCGCTAACAAAACTTGAGCTTTTGAAATCGTTTGTTCTCGCTTTTGTTCGTTTCAAAGTCTTTAGGGGGGAAGAATAGTACAGAGTGTTTGTCTGCGTCGTCCAGTGAGTGGCCTTCGTCCTCTAGCTGTTTACATTCATCTCCTCAGGATGCTCCTTCTTCGGTCTTCGGTCTTTATGTTACCTTTATGTTACGTCTACACAGGGGCGGATTATCAAATAGGTCTACTGGGCACGTAGCAGCATATCGTCACTGTCCAAAAAAATCATCAAAGTATCTCCAGGAGAGGGCAAAAGCATTCTAATATAATAAGCTTTTTACCCAAGTAATTGTCTATTGGTATTTGACCACTGCTGTGTTCAAATTACATAGAAAAATAAAAAATCGGCAAAAAGTTTTTTTTGTTTTTTTTGGCCAGTGATGATATATTTATAAAAAGTTGCATTTATTTTAACCTATCAAGAGACAGAGTGTTGATATAACGTGCTGATGGAACAATAGTCTCAGAAGTACCACTTTGCGTAAAGACCACCCTTATAAAGGGTTTATGAATGGTTTAAAATTTGTTGGTTATTAAACAGGTAATAAACATCTTAAAATCATTAATAAGCAGTTATAGAACATAAATAAAAAGGGCAACATGGGGGCTCCCGAGTGGCACAATCGTCTAAGCGTTGGCTCTATCATCAGGAGAACGTGAGTTGGCGGTTGGCGCTTTCCTCCGAGCGCGCTGCAAAAGCAGTGGTTTGAAAAGATGCGGTGGTGCTTCACAGGTCTCTGAGGAAGCCTGTGCTAGCCGTCACCCTTCTAGTGCTGGTGGTATCGTGTGATTGAGAGAGTCCTAACTAGTGGGTGGAATTGGAGATGACTAAATTGGGGAGAAATCTGGGGGAAAAATCCTGAAAAAAAGGGCAACAGTGACCTGTTGCTTGCCAGATAGTGAGCCCACATTCATCTATACTGTCTCTTAATTCAGCATTATACCTGTCAGCTTTATCAGATATGCAACAGATACAACAGCTCACTCCTGCCCTTTTTATCTGTCATCAACACATTGTTTTTAAGCTGTTTATGATCTAATTAATACCCATTAATAAACACAATGCTAATTGGTACCCAGGATTCAAAATCTGGTTTTCTGAATGTATGCAATTGAGGTGGTGGTCAATCGCTTGTGAACATTTTGCACGTTTTTTTATGCTGTTGTGGTGGTCACCTTGGCACACTACAGTTGCGCTGTTATGGTGACCGTTGATAGGCACAGTGCAGGCCAGTATGGGGAGGGGGTGGGGGGTGGCCGTGCCCAGGACCCCAGGACTTATTAATTTGTCTCTGCTTCTGCTGATCCTTTTTTGGTTATTTTCACAACTTGGAAGAGTCTCTCAGACATGAAAGTGCTTTTCTTTGCTTTGTTCTGTCGGCTTTTTGGCGTCTGTAGACAGTCCCGTTGCCATAGCAACACTGCATTGATATTTGCTGACAATATCAATATGTGTGATAGCATATCATTATGTAGATATTCCCGCCAGATCGTTTTTTTTTTTTTCTAAAATAATGTCACTGCAGACTTGTCCATGTTGGATTATTGTTTTGCACTTTTGAACAGTGTTTAATGCCCTTTCTCCAGGCTTCTGGCTTCAGCTACCATCTTGGCTAATTTGATGATTACAGCCAAAATGTAATTTCTGTAATACTACCTGTAATAGGTAAAAGGTACCTATTAGGAGTTTTTAACACAGAGTAAGGGAATATTCTGGCTTAGTTTGGATAACTTGTTCATCTCTGCTTTTTCTTCCATTCATCCTTCTATTTATCCATCCTCCTGTACCCATCCGCTGGCTCCTCACTCTCCTCAGAAGCCTGGGCTTTCGTAGCTGCTGTGACTGTAGTAGCTGTGGGCCTGGCTGGGGCTGCGAGAGAAACTTCGGCTCCGGCTCCTGCTGCTTTTGCTCCGGCTCCTGCTCCGGCTTCTGCTGCTTTTGCTCCGACTCCTGCTTCTGCTGCGGCTCCTGCTGCGACTCCGGCTGTAGCTGCTGTAGCTGTCGTAGGAGCGGCTGCGGCTCCGGCTGGAGCTGCTGTAGCTGCTGGCTGAGCTGGAGGAGGACGGGCTGGGCCTGTAGTACGGGATCGGCCGCTTCCGCGCACTACAGAACAGGAGCAGAGTAGAGAGGGAATTACGTACTTAAAATATTAACTGCTGCCCATCAGAACTAAAAAAAAGGATAAATAAGAATGTTTTCTTTGTTTTCCAATAATATAAAGGGCCCAAGTCTACATTTTATGCGAACCCCTTAAAATCCCAGGCTTATTACATACTTAGGTTTATTATTCAGTAACTACAGGGACTGTGTTTCAAACTGGCTGAGCTATTCTTCAGTTATAGAAGTGTGTAATACAACTTGGGCCCTGGCCATTTAAGGGGTTAAGCCCACTTGGTTTTATGTCATTTTTACGACTGTTTTTTTTTTTTATCCCTTAACAGGCTATTATTATCACGGTGCCTTAAAGGCTGATATATATAAATGCCCTGTTCTGATTACCTGCTGTATGTTGTGCAGGTATTATACAGCAGTTAGTTCCGGCCACGCAAGCTGATTGGTTGAGAATCATTTTAACCGTGCTGTTATTTCGCCATAACATCACAGGTTTTTCACAGACACTGTATCACTCCGCTGAGACGCCATTGCTAAGCAACGACTTTGACAGCTGTAGGAGACGCTCAACCCATTTGAACATTTTTACTTCTTACTTGCCACAAACAGAAAATGGATACTTTTAAGATCACATTTGACCGACAGCCGATTTGGTCAGACTCTGAAGATGAGACGACACTAAATTCCCAAACTGTCACCACTGAGCAGCTTTTCAGTCGGCAGCTGTGACAGAAGAACCTAAACAACCTGGATTTAGCCAGAAATGTACCGAATACCATTCGCCAAACGTGTAGTCTGATCTTCAGAGTCTGACCAAATAAGACTGAGCCATAAAACTGCCGCAATAAAAAAAACAAAAAAGCTGCTCAGTGGTGATGACAGTTCCAGAATTCAGTGTAAGGAGCTAGAGATGAACTGCCGGCTGTGCAGCGAGTTTGTTACTCTGACGTAGCAACGAGCTGCTTGTTAAGGAACTATAATTTGGCGGAAGGAACTGCAAACATTAAAACATATTAAATGCCGCGTTCACGGCCCAATTTATTAATTTCTTACTTTATTTATTTAACTGTTGTATAAAAGCAACAGAACACTCGAGGTTGTGTGTTATCGCTACAACATCACGGCTGTGATGATCTACGGCACTCATCTTCGGCTTGTGCCTGTGACCAAATCACAGCTGTGATGTTATTTCACGATAACACACTCCCTCTTGTGTTCTGTTGATTAATTATGACATCAAAACCATGATAAATTCAAAATGGGCTGCTTTAGCAGCTTAATTTCCATGATGGACAACATGGTACAGTCATATGTTTGGGCGCCCCTGGTTAAATGGCATGTTTTGTCGGTTTTGTAAGTGAAAATTTATTAACACATCCTCTACAGAGAACACACTGCACGTCTTAATGCACAATTACTGTTTACCTGCTGAGTTTAACATATTGAAATAAAAAGATAAAAATAAAAATCTGGCCTGGGCAAAAGTTATGGCACATTTTATATTTTATTTTTTTCCCAATATGTTAAACTCAGCAAATAAGAAATTGTGCACTTAAATTTGCAGATGCTGTATTGAAGTTTGTTGCCAGTAGAGGATGTGTTATGTTCACAAACCAACAAAAAATATAATTTGAGCAGGGTGTTCAAACTTTGGCACACAACTGTATGTTTTGAAGCAGTGTTTACTTTGTACATCAGACTCTTATTTTAAAAAAGCGAAGAAACATATTCTAAGATATAGGCTCTTTAACATGATAATACTAGCCAGGTTTGTTTTAAGGGACGTAACAATACACTTTTAAATATTTGTGACAATTACACTAATGACACATAACAAAACTACATTCATGAAAAAGGACAGTTGTTTAAGGGAGGTAATTGTTTAAGGGAGGTAATTGTTTCTTAGTTATTGTTCCAAATGTTTAGGTGATACAGATTTCTTATAATAAACCTGATTAATATTTTAGTTTATTATGTATGAAGTCAATGTAAACAAAGAAAACAAGCTAATTTATCAGAATCATTTAGAAAAGCTAGGTGTCCAAAAATTTTTGATGGACAGCGTGAGTACAGATATCTAATGGTGTAAACACAGCATTGTCACAGTGAGCTGTACTGCTGTAATTAGTTGCTGCTGGAGGAGTGAAGAGACTGAAAGAGAGTGGCTGATTGTGTTAGTCAGTGTTAATGCACATCCCCTCTGCAGGCGTCAGTGTATCTTAGAAGAGACAGATATAGAGCCGTCATTTGTTAATACAGTGCGCTCCAACAACACACATACATACACACGCAAACTCAGACGCCATATGTCACCTCAAAGCACCCACACCGCTTGTGCTGCTGGCAAGCTGAGAGCTGTTAACTGGCACAGACTGAAATCCTTAAAAGAGTTGAGTGAAACAGAGCCTGTAGGTGACTTCAGGTTTATCAAGAGGCTTTTACTTACACTGATCATTGTCACGCATATTGAAGACTGAAAACTACGGGCACCCCCTGGTCAGATTATGTGTTTTGTTGATTTTTTAAAGTGAAAATGTGTTAACACATCCTCTCCGAAGAACGCACTTAAATGTGTGATTTTTACATTTTAAAATATTGGAAAAAAATACATAAAATATAAAATGTGCCATACATTTTTGCACAGGTCAGATTTTTATATTTTATTTTTTACAATATTAAATTCAGCCAATAAAAAAGCAATTATGCATTAAAATGTGGAGTGTATTCTCTGTAGAGGATGTTTTAACTTAAAAAAAAAATCAACAAAACAGCATCTAAATGGGGTGCCCAAACTTTTGCATATGAATACATATGTGTTTTACTATGTCATTTGAAATTCACTTAGACCTCACGCATTTCAGCTTCAGTTATACTGTCAATTTAACTCTTCCACGTGTAAGATAACTGGGACTTCTTTGGGTTAAATTATGTCCGCTCTTCTACTCCAAATGCATGTCTATATAAATAAATTGTGAAAATAAAAATCTATGAAATAAAACACACAGCATGAAGCCTCTGGATATCCCCTCAGTCAGTTAACCGTGCTGTAAAATTAGTGACCATCAGAAGACGGTGACCCTTCTACTGTATTAGAGCCAGAAAAAGCGAAAGGGTTAGGATGCAGGGAGGGGTGGGATGTACTCTAGGGATGCTGTCTGCGTGCTTGCTGCTTCACCAAAACGTGCTCATGAAGAGAAGAGGCCTAGGAGAGTCCTGCTGCTCGGCAACAGTTACCACGGTAACCCTGCCTTCAGCCCGCCGACATTCCGACGTCTGCTGTCTTCTGAGCACCTTTGTACAGGAGTGGAAGAGTGAGCTCATACAAATTCACCTACTCACTATGGACACAGCTGAGGTACGTGTGCTGCTGCACCTGGGAGGGTTTGTTTACCTTCATGGAAATTTTAGAAAAGAAAAAAGAGACTGTAACATTGTAAACAACGGAAATACTGACCATGTTGAAGATACAAGTATGAAATTACTCTGTTATGATGCTACTATGCTATAACTTAATAGGTTACACGTTAAAACCACAGTCCATTTGTTTATGTATAGTTTGTGTCAACCGTCCTCCTGCCCTTCCTCAGTTGTCAGTTTCTGACCACAGAGCTGCTCTTGGGTGGTGGACTCTCCACCTAACGTTGACACCGATGCAAGTCAAAACCCCTGCAACACTGCTGTGATACACTCATACCATCAGCTCACTCACTACCACGTCAACGTCTCCGCTGTGCTGGGAATGGTCCACCACCCAAATAATCTGGTGAACAGAGGCCCTGTGGTCAGAAATGCTGACCAATGATGAATTGGGTGGATGGATACTGTGAGCGATAACAGATGGGCTGCTATCTGTAACTGTGCACCTACAGAGGTAGGTGGAGCTCATAAAGTGGTCCGTACAAGGTAGGTGTTTCTGAATCAGAGGAGGGTGACTGTGTGATGTATATGTAATGCCCCCTGCAGTGCTAAACCGTAAGACTGGAAAGCCTGCAGTAGAGAGGCTGGCCACTAGATGGCAGTGTTACACTGTACCAATGTTACTCTATAGCAGTGATCACCAACCCTCCTTCTGGAGATCTACTTTCCAGCAGAGTTAAGCAGCAACCCATATTTACCTGGAGCAGGTTTGGTAGATTGTGGTTGGACTGTGGTCCATAGTTGGTGCCCTATAGCCAATGTTATTATTTAAAAGCTCAAGAAAAATAATAAAGCAAAATGCTTGAACACAGAACAACCGACACAAAATTCACAAATCATAAAAATTCGTGTTTTCGGCAAATTAATGGCAAAAACCTTTTTCGGGTTTAGATCAACCAAGAGCCAAGAGTACAATATATGTAATGTTGAAAATAAATAATATCTGACTAGTTGTCTCATGTGTTTTAAAATGTTCACCATTCACCAAAAGACTGTGAAACAGCTGGACGTCAGGTCGCTGCAGTGTGAGTAGCTATACTGTTCACATTTGTATACCAGTACTGGAGTCAGATTAAATTTCAGGTTTTTAGTTTTAGCAATATTGATAGATACAGAAACAGTTAAATGAAATGTAAACTGTACAAAAAACATAACCCTAAACATAATAAAATACATAACCATAAACTCTAAATAAATTGCAAGTTTCCGTTCTAGAAATGTGCTTTCTGTGTGATTAGCATGTACAGTGCTGTGCAAGGTTTCACTTGGAATCATTTGAAGAAAAGAAAACAACAGGAGTACAAAACAGTCTGACATTCTTTTCACAGTATCAGTACTCTGCATACCAGTACCAAGAAGGATGGGTGCACTAACTTTATTAACACTTAAAACTTAAATATCCTCTGATACAGTGATATTGTGATATATTTAGAAAATACTGTGATACTGAATTTGAACAAAATCGCCCAGCAGTAAGCATGAGGACGTGAGTTTACCTGGTGATTCTGCGAGCCTCCATAAAGCTGGGCGAGTCTCTCCTCCTCTTCCGAATGGGAGAGTAACTGCGGGAGCGCCGACGAGCTCTCTCGGCATCAGAGTAGTGAGGACTGTCCCTTTCCCTACACGAGCACACAGGAGAGGTGACATTTAGAAGTGTGTGCACTCATATTTTTGTGTGTATGAGCTTTTTTGAGTCACGTCATGGGTACATCTCTCTCTACATGTTCCCACTATGACAAGAAAACACTATTCTTACATTGTGGGTATAATTTGAAGCCCCTTAGGGAGTTTCTTTTTTATCACACACACTCACCACCCAATTTATAAGGTATATCTACCCGGCATCTGCACTCGCTGTCAATTTCATCATGTCCGCTTAGATGCATTTTATGGTTTTACTCTTACAGAAAGTCCCTCTGTTTCTCTGTATAAATTGAAAGTCCAACTCTAAATAAGAGGCTGTGTATTGGAGCAAATGCATTTTGTATTTAGTTCAGCATTTTGTTCCTCTAATTTTTTCCCCAATTTAGTCACGTGCAGTTCCACCCTTTAGCTAGTTCTCCCCGAATCACACAGTGCTACCTAGGAGGGTGAAGGCTAGTATGTGCTTCCTCCATAAAGCCAGCTACCACATCTTTTTGTACTACCACTAACACGTCATTGGACAGCTTAACATGCTTAGAGGAGAATGTTAAATGTGGATTTGTTAGCTAGCATTGTACTGGGTGATGGCGGGGAGGGAGGGTCTTCCTACCCCCTCAGAGAGAGCATGACCCATTACACTGTACTGGACCCCCAGCCACAAACGGAGCCCCATAATGGAGCCAACACTTAGAAGGTTGGCCTACATTGCTGTGTGTGAGTAAATAAGGGTGTACCTGGAGTTGTTCTGTCGTGTGTGGGGGGATTTGGTCTTGCTGGGAGCGTGCTCTCTGGAGTTGGAGCGTGAAGAAGAGCGGCCACTGCTCCAGGAGCTACTTCGCTGCCGTAGACTCCCGTGGGATTTGCTCTTCTTGCGGCCAGACGTGTGTCGGTGCCGTCCTGGTGACGCTGACGTGCTGCGGTGACGGTTGGGACCCCTTCCGCGGTGGTGCTTCTTTGATGAATGAGACCCTTTTGCTCTGGTGAGGAAGTGAAGATTGAGTATACACTGGGAAGTGCACTAAAATTGATGTATATAGATGGAACACTTTTTTGTGGATCCAACAACAGCAGATGTGCTACAAGTCTGCTGTACCCAGTAATAATAATGACTTACAATGACTGGCCACTTTATTAGAAACACATTCCTTATTTGTGTTCCCAATATAAACTCTCAACCTAGCAGTGATACTGACATTTGGGGGAAAACCTTGTGTCACTGTTGCGCTGAGAATGGGCCACCACCCAAATAATATGCGTTCTACAGCGGTCCTGTGGTCAGAAACTGACCAATGATGAACGGGGCAGTGGGTGGCAGACCATTTGCAGCAACAGATGTGCTGTAGTCTGTATCTGTACCCCGTATAGTGGACTAATAAGCTAGGTGAGGCTCAAAAAGTGCAAGGTAGGAGTCATAGGTCTTCCTAAGTTTACTGAATATTATTTTCAGTATAATATTAGGATAAATAAAATGCACACTGTAGCTTATGTATGTAAGGCTAAGCTACTGGTCAATGGATAAATAGCACATATAACTTTGTCTCACTTTTTCTGATGTGAGCTCTTAGCTTTGGGTTGGAGGTCAGGCTGAGAGTCACTGCTATGTGCTGGAGAGCCGCTCTTCTCCTGAGCCCGCTGCCGGCCACCCCGTCTGCCTGATGACTCGGAGGGGTGCTTGGCCCCCCGCTGTTGCCTCTCATCCCCTTTTCCCGCCTCTCCGACAGGCAATCCTCCGGGGCTCCTAGAAGAGGCGCCGTGGCTCTTTGCTTCCCTTATGCTGGGGGACGTCTGCCTCTGTGCTTCACTTGGGGAGGATGAAGCCAGTGACCGTAGCTTCTGTAGATGAATTATAACAAAAACAAAGAAAAAAAAAGGAAGAAATAAAAAAATGACAAAAATATACTGAAATTAGAGTCGTTTTCACCTGAGAGAGTGAGCGCTATGGTGTACTTGCCAAAAAAAGGTAAATATCTAAAAGAAAAGAGCTAGGAGTTTTCTCGATATGGCTTATAGACAGTCCTCTATGGTGCAGCGCATGCAATACTTGGCATGCAAAACCATAATGAGCTGAAAATATATAATCCCGAAAGAAAAGAAGAGAAAGAAAGGGAAAACAATATATGTAAAACTGTGAAAGAAATTAAGATCAGGAGAATAGAGAGTGAAAAGAGAGAGCGACAGATACTGAAGAGCTGAGCAGAAAAGGAGGACTTCTTCATTTTTTTAAAGAAATGACTACAAACCAAAAAAGTGGAAAATAAAAACTAGGAAAAAAAAGTCAGACAACTTGACGGAACATCACAGAAATGGAAGGAACAAAAGAAAGATTCACAATTATAGACTCAATCGAATTAGAAAACAATTGGTCTTCTACTCAATAGTAAATTTCTGCTTGTGGATTGCTTTTCCTGCAGACAATTGCTGAGATGTGAACAGCGACCCATTTCCTGCTTTTTTTTAATGGTTACTCTGTTTTAACTCCCTTTTGGTTAACATCCACTTACCAATAAAGTGGTATTCCCTCCTTTAGTAGGTAAGGTATGAAGAGAAGGGAAAAGTGGGGCAACATAAGTGCATCATTAGATTCACAAAATGCAAGAGAAAAAGACACAACACCCTTCCCTGGTAGTGAGCATGAGACAATGCATGAAAATCAAACCAAAGAGACACACCAAATCAAATCAAATCAAATCAAATCAAACAAAAAAGAACTGATCATTTAGGCCTTAGAAAAATAACCATGTGGGCTGGGACACTCATAGCTTTTGAGCAGAACCACTTCCTTTCAAGGTAGCAAGTGATTCCGATCCTTTTGTACAGGCAGATATTTTTTTCTGTCAGCTGCTAAGGTTGTGGTCATTTAGCAAAGAAAGGAAGAGCTAATAGCTTAAATTAGATTTAACGGTCAGCAAAGCAAGCATGCACAAAAGCTTCAAAAAAGAATAATCTGATCACGCTTTCAAAACAGATACGACATACTGGCCTCTCTCGTTCTGTGGAATTTTAAACAGATGCAAGCTGACCTTTCTGCATGGTTAGATTATTCATGGGATCTGACCATTTTAACCAGACAGTCGTAACCTCTGGAACAACCGCGAACCCTATGAGGTCTACCGTTGCACTGGTAAATTCTCTGTTCTTCCCTGTTTTATTTCATTTTGGTGTAGTTTATGCTTGATTCCTATGCTTAATTGACCACTCTTCATTTTTTATTTACAGTCAAAACAGCCTGTTATTCACTGTCAGTAGATATTTCTGAGGATATTCAATATGAGATATTCCATCTGCGTAAGGATGGAGAAAGTCCAGAGAAAATAAGTAGACCACCAAAGCTGTCACCATCAGATAAACAGTACTTAAAGCTTTATGCTTAATTTTTACTTCAGATCAGTTGTTTCTGTCCATCCTTCCACCATGAGAAGACAACTCAGCACTATTGGTGTTAAAGGATGTGTAGCTGCCAAAAAGCTGCTACACAGTAAAGGAAGTAGGCAAAAAAGGAAAATTTGGCAATTAAATAAAGAAGCTGCTGGTGTTTTCAAATTAATAGGCTTGCCACCCTATAGGAACCCACCAGACCTTACCATCACTGAATATGTTTGGGATAACTTGGATAATAAGAAGCAGAGAATGCAAGACTGAACTTTGGAGGTGTGGAAAAATATCCCTGCAGATTTCTTTGAAAAACTGAAAGCAAGTCTCCTGAAAAGAATAGAGGCTGTAACAAAGGCAAAGTACGGACACGAGAAATACAGAGCAGAAATGATATTATGTTATCTAAGTATATAAAATATAGTTTTCTGCTTTTTTTCCTGATGCTGGAAAATGAATAACTTTCATTGTTTGCTTTGACTGGAAATGAAGTAAGTGAAGGGTGGTCTCTGACTGTATATAATTGTAAGAAATTAAGCTAACCTGAGGTATTAAAGTCAACCTGAAAACATTTAACTTTCCCTCTTGTTAGTTTGTGTCCCTGTTCATATAAACCATGACTCATCATACTGTACCGTTTAACCACAACAAAATGTGACAATTTTTCCTTGTCTCTAAAACATCCTCTGATTTTTGATTACATCAGCGTGCACCAGCGAGCGGGAAAAATAATATTAACCAATAATATCATGGTTAACCTCCCCCACCCATTATTGAATGAAATGCTCAGCTCGCAGAGACCCTCCCTGATACTGATACTCAACAACAATGTGTTATGACTTCAGACTCGCGCTGACTTTAAAATACACCAGATTGCGTTCTGTATATTTAAACTTTAAAAAGCTTATTCACACCTGCATGTCTCTTTTACGCAAATGGTTCATCAATCGGAACAAACTGGAACCAACAGTTGGTCTTCTATGCCATTGCTCCCTTTCTGGCTCCTCTTTCATTATAGAAGTGTAAGATGAGGCCTTTTCATTGCACCAGCGCAATGATGGACCTCATAGAGTCGATAAAGGCCTCTTGTATTTTTCTCTGACTAGCAATGCAAATTACTCTGCGTTAAGCAAGAGAACATCCAAAATGCCCTCTTGACCACCACTAAGACAGAATTAGGACCTGCTGAGTAAATATTATATGTGTATAAAGAAATCTAAATGACTCTAAAGCTTTTTACATTTTACATTAACATAAGCACCAAAAATACATCCTTTACTACTTAATGCACGCAGGATTGTAGGAGCAACCTTAGACTTTGGAAGCAAAAAATTAGTGTTGTAGTTTAAAAAAAAGGTTTAAAAGATAAATGACTGAAAAAAAAACTGTAAGACGAATGTACCATTTCACCAAGAGACAAAAAAGGGATGCGGCACAAACATGAATGCATTCTACCGAAACGGAAAGAAGAAGAACGGAGACAAGAGATGGACTTGAGGGGAGGGCAGTGTACTGAAGACTTCAGCATGAGAGCAAAGGTAGATTTTAAGGTTGGTAAACAAAATAAATAAAGAAATAAAAGCTGAAATACTGAATAAAAATCATAGAGAACATATTGCTAATAAAGAAGAAAGGAAAACAATGAAAAGTAATCCGCCAACTTTTTTTTTGTCATCATAGATAAATGAGGAAAAAGAAAGAGAGAGAAAGAAAGAGAGATAGAAAGAGAGAGAGAGATAGAGAGAAAACATTGAAGTCAAGCTAGGGTGCTTGTCACATTCTCATCTGCATAGAGACCACGTGCGTAGGCAGAGCGTTACCTACCTTCCATTTCAATCAGAGACACGTATGCAATATTAACAAAAACAAGAAAAGGAAGAAAAAAAGGAGGGGGGGAGGGAGAAAGGAAAGTTCTCCGCAGCGAAATGGGAAAAAGACAATGAATTCTTTTTAGTATCCCAGCTAAGTAATTTGGACCACAAAGCTAAGAAGGAGACCAAAAAAAAAACAAAAAACAACAAATCAATCGAAACTAAAAAACCCCAAAAAAAACAAAACAAAATCGGCCAACATACGGAACAAAATGAGGACAAATGAACAAGAACGGAAACCAAAGAAACCAAACTAAAATCTACATGGATTGCTGTCTTTTTCGCTTGGACATATGTGCAGCCACGTAGTATTAAAGGTTAAAGAGGGTGGGGGGTGTGGGGGGCTCTAGATAGTCAAATGAGAGACAAGGTGAAACCCGTCGCATGGATAGAACCTGCCGGAAGGAAACGTGGAAGGGAATGAACATGCAGACTACGGTCGATGGGGGGCAGAAAGCATGTCAGGACAACAAAGAAGAAGAGCACACACACCACAGATGGACAGGTGGAGGTGGGAAAATGTTTAGGGAGGGGAGGGGGGGAGGTTGTCGAGTGGAGGGCAGTCACTGCTAGGATGGAGAACTAAAGTCAGCACATTTCAAAGGGACCCCAGTCACATTGTTGGGAACTTTGCACTAACAGCACATGGTATCCTTCGTAGGACTCTCTTTGCTCTCAGCAACTGTCAAAAATAGGCAAGACATTTGAGGAAAAAGGAAGAAGGATCAGTTTCATTATAAAAAAACATTAAGGCTGTGTTGGAGCAAATGTACTTAATGAGAGTCAGGCCTGATTCTAAATGGCTTGGGTCCCTTTAGAGTAACGCCTCCACTAAACGCTTCCTATTGTCCTATTGTAATAGCTGCGAGTTTTCCATTTGCCTAGTCAGACATAAAATCATTTGAGATTTAGAGTAGAAAAACCCTTGTTATTCCACAGCTACTGAAATATAAAATTATGTGTTACAGCAGCAAAGTCAGTGTTAAGGAGGGGTAAAGAGAATCCTTTGGAATTAGCTACTGCCGTCTCGTAAGGGACTGGTAATCGTTAAGAGGTTTCCTACTGCTTGCACTTTGCAATTCCATCACTCCCAGTCAACCAACCGGTCACCACGCCACACAGCTGATTGGCTGAAAGTGCATGGGGACGGGCTAGAAGCAATTACAAACTCGTAACACCTCTCTTTTTTATCTGAAGTGAGAAACAGTCAACATCAGGGGACAGTCTGACAGAGGTGACCCTGCCACCCGGAAGGTAACATGCAGGTCAGAAATGGTAGTCCACAAGAAGCAAGTAAAAGAAGGGCTTTTTAAACACTTGAGAGACAGCCGTCAAGTTCTGATCGATCTGGAGGAAAAGGGGGGAGTTCTACAGTGTTACTCGGCAGAACATGAGCGTTCAAACTGTATTGACAAGAAAAACTAATACACATACCCAGTTTAACCTACTTGGTCCAGTTCCAAAGCATATGAGTGCTTTTTACACAAACAAGACAGAAAAGTTTGGGCATTTATTGGTGGGAAGATATCACGTAAAATGAACAGAGGCAGAAAGTAAAGAAGAGAGGGATGAAGCAAGCAAGTGAAAAAGGAGAGAAAGAGCATATGAGACCTCCTCAAAAGAATGCATGCAAACTACTAGGAGGAAACCTGTTAAGGTACCAATATTTACGGTAAGAAAATACAACTGGAAACTCCTCCCAAATCATGAAGAGAACATCAGATTCTTGGCTAAACATTTACTGACAGTGTTGACTGGATACACTCATCGACAACTTTAGAAAGCCCTACCTTACAGGTCCACCTTGGTGTACAGTTAAGCCTTTTTTTTTCTATCAGGGTGTGTGGTAGTGTGTGGTACGGCAACAAATCCATGAGCAGACATTTTGTATTAATTTCCAATGCCATTTTATCAACGTTCCACTATCTGAGTACCTGTGCTAAATTTGGTTACCCTTTTTTCCGGGGTACGAAGCCAGAATGTGAGTGGAGCTTGAAACAGTGCAGACTGATGATTGATCACACGCAATCACCTTAGAATCTTCATTTGAGTCAGGCAACCTAACCTACCTAGCCAGAATCGCTTTCTCTGACTCTATGCAAAAAAATCTGAAGCTCTTCCATAATTGCTACTGCATTTGTGTTCACTGTTAACACACTGCGTAAGCCTCCAAGGGCCAGACGTGATCTCGCAACTACAAAGTTCAGAGACATCCTGAAAAATTTCTATCACTCGCTGCAGAACCAGAAGTCCAAAGGGGTGGAGCCGGACCTATCCAACTCCGCCCACGTCTTCTTTTCATTTGTCTAAAATCATTGCATTTTTATTGGTCTTTAAACTAGTGTGGGTCGCTTACATTTTCCACCTGCGACTGATTTCATTGGTCTACACTGTCACGTTTTTATCTGTGGGAAACCTGCAGGTAAACCACAAATACCAATTCACTACCATGTCAGTGTCACTGGTGTGCTGAGAAAAGTCTACCACTGAATTAATATCAGGTCAACAGCAGCCCTGTGGTCAGAAACCAGTGATAAATGGGGGAAATGGTAGTCTTGCAGGGTCAGGCGTGATCTCTCAATGAAAGTACACTGAGCGCATTGGGCTTATTGGAGCCGTGAATGTAGATTTGTAAGGGTGGGAACAAACAGCAATCCAGTGCCTTGTGAAGGCAGAGTTTAAAGGAAAGGTGGCCTTGCCAACACTGTTCACCTGCAAAAAGCCTGTCATTAGTACCACAGACTTAAGCTAATAAGGCTTAAAGGTTCCCTAATAATACTACAAATTAAGATGTTTGTTGCATGTGTGGGAAAAGCATCACATACTTTACAAATAAAGTAACTCTTCCAAAGAAAAATCTCCCTTTTAAAATGGAGAACACTTTAGCCTAATCTCTGGACAGGGAGTAAAAGTTAGCGTCAGATTACAGGCCGCTCACTGTTCTTAAAATACAGGAAAATACTATTTCGCTGGTTAGTGATATGTTGTTTTTTCTTGTGTTATCGATCACAATTTGGACTGTAGAGTATTGCAAGGGGATTTTAGAGGGAACACCTCTAGTAATTTGTACTCTTATTACAAGATTATATCAAACTCCGCAAAACTCGGTAGAGGCTGACAAATTGTATACAACAACAGACACACTGCAATCTAACTGTACATCTATATGGTGGACCTGTAAGGTAGGTTCAGCTCATAAAGTAGCCAGTGAGTGGATGCACAGGGTAGGTCTGTAATAAAGTGTAGAGTGAATGTATACTGCACATTTTCTCTCACTTGCACCTTCGGGGTACTTCCTCACTTTTATCAAGGAGTGTAAATGTTCCTTTTACATTTTCCCTTGAGGTTATGCTGGAATAAAAAAAGGCCCATCCTAAACTTTCACAAACTTGAAGAGCTGAGAGGGCTGCAAAAGCTCTGAAATCTGACATGTACAACTTTATTGCGTGGGTCAGTTTTTCTAGTTGTCTGGGCTTTGGTTTTCTTCATCAAAGTTCGTCCGACTGAAGTTTGGGAATTATAGCCCAGGGCGGAGGCAACAAACTGGAAGAAAGATGGCTGCGCCCTGACAGCATTTAAACTCTTTTCTTCTGAAGGCAGCGCTCTGTCATCTCCGAGCTACTTGACTGTGACTGAAATTTCAATCTACTGGATTTAATCTGCAGTGATTTATGTCACTTCACAAGGCGGCGGCCGTCCAGCAGCAAGCGTGGTTTACAGCCGGTGGATTCTGTCGAGGTAATCTTGAGAGAAGTCAATGGTTTGGCACGGCGCTCTGCGGCACATCCCTCAATTACTCCGTCATGCCTGCCCTTGGGTAACTCGAATGAGTTATTCTGCGACTGCACCTTCCTTGACACAGGTTTGGCATTGACAGTGCAGTGACTGATTCTTACAAGGTTTTCTAAGCTAGAGCTGGCAAAAATTTTATCATGGATCATGGATAGTTATATTGAATAAAAGTCTAAATAATGTTTAACACTTAATTAATATGTTAAAGAAATAATATTTATTGCCAATGTAGAATGTAAAAAATTAAGTAAAATCTTGAATATTAAGTACAAAATTACTGAGAAAGAATATGTCCTTGTTTGAAGACGTTTCATTAAGCACATCGCCACCTGGCCTGCTTTTATTGTCTTGGTAACACTACACAACTTACTACACAATACGTTTTGTACTTTCTGCACAACACTGCAGAAATTCTACTTCCCTGGTCTTATACTGCATTTAACCTCAAGACATGTAAAATGATTTTCTTCGTTGTTGTTTCACATAAAATTGCAAAAGGGAGTTGATTCATGTACCCACGCAAACCTAGAGGTTGACAAGTCGATTACAATATGCTTCTTTTTACTCTTTGTTGGCTGAAATGTAGGAAGTTAAACAACCCTGGTGCCTTTGAAATTGAACCCTGGTTAAATTTCCAATTCCGCAAGCCTATCTTTTCCTCTGCAGGCTATGAAGCCTGAATATTAAAGTGTGCACAGAGACAAACTGAGGTTCGCTATCAAGAGAAAGAGTAGGATTATCTGCTGTTCAGGAAAAAAAATAAACCTTACCCCAACAAACATGAAATCCAGCTGAGAATGGAAAATAGTCACAAAACTGAGCCAAAGAGGTGTAAGCAGGGGACATAAATAAATAAATAAACAAACAAATAAATAAACAAGAATCAGCTCACACATATGCGACTGAGGAAGAACAATCAAGTCAGTATGGGAGGCAGTTAGAGAGAGAGAGAGAGAGAGAGAGACCATGTGAGTGGGAGGACTCGAGTGAACAGTGTAGGGAGAAGGGCGAAGAGGTGAAATAGAGGAGACTACATACATCGTTCGCTTTCTCTCCATCGAGGTGGTTGGGTCCGGAGTCTTTGCCATTCCGCACCCGGTTACTGTGGTGGCCGTTCTGCCGGTAGGTGGCGTGGTCTGGGCCGAGGGAGGGGGATGGACTGTGACTGGACCTCCCACCGGGCTTGTGTCCGTCCGCCCTGTGCTTCGGATTCGACCTGTGGGTGGTTCGGCATCCAGTCATTCAAACATCCACAGAAAAGAGATCAGTCATGTGTACAGAAAAAAAATAGTAAAGAGTGACCTACATACATTGATCATCCACTCTAACTACTTACACATCCTCCACTCAGAGCCACTTCATAAGCTCAAATCTACCTTCTAGGTCACTGTATAGGTGCACAGTTACAAACCAGAGGTGTCACGACATGCATGTTAATATTATTTCTTGCTATAAAATGTGTGATAATGTGAATAGGATCTATAGTTCTATTTAACACAATTCTTTATATTCCTAAAAGTGACAACCATGAACACAAAAAACTACTACTAAAAATACTACACAGCTCTCAGGACGGGGAAAAACATTGGTTAGCTTAGCCTGGATTAGCTAAACTGTTTTTCAGTCAAGTACAGTAATCCTGGACAAAGAGTGGTAGACAGAACAGTGACAGATCGCTGACATTGCCTAATGTGAGGATCAAATACCTGCGAATACCTTAAATATGCTACCATATTTGTGAAGATATCACATAAATGTGTCAGTTACTGGAGCAAGAAGAAACGCAAATCTGAAGTTAGCAATGCTTCTTATTTGATTCCTCTGTTCCACCTTAAACTGAGTAGCAGTTACGTTACTGCTGCACCATTTAAGGTGGAATGGAACATTCTGTTGAAATAAGAATGTCGAACAGGAAGCCAACTTCAGCCTTGTGGTGAAAACAAGAACACAAGAGCTTCTTCCCCTCACAGGATTCAAGCACCTGCTCAGTGCTGATACTGAACAGGCAAAACAAATAATTCTCTCCATGGGGATGTTAAAAGAGACTGATTTGCACTTGCATTTGTTGCAGAGTTCACCTCTATTTGGTTGTGGATTCTGCAGTTTGCTGAGTGATTGAGCCATGTGAGAAAATCCCCTCTCACTCGTTTCAGCCAGAAAGTAAGAGCCACACTTTATACAGAAACAAAACATCAGATTGTAAATGAACTTGTAATGTTCTGTTCATTTAATATTGAGATGTAGCCTTATAGTTTACGTTTTTGTTTTCTGCTATAAAGATATTGCACATTGTTTATATTATTTATTCTTTTATATTCTGTCCTCTAAGAAAATGACAGTTTTGGGAATTATCAAAAAATAAATATTTCTTTTCTTATTCTGTATCGAAAAATGTACCGTATTGTGATGCAAAATCAACAATATGTATGGTATTATGAAATATGCTTATCGTTACACCCCTATTACAGACCAAAGCCCACCTGTTTTTTTCTAGTGATGGAGTGAAATTAACAAACCTGAAAGAAAGGTGTTTTTGCCGTTTTACTTATGCTTTTAAATTAATGCATGAAGCATAAAACTTCTTCATAGATAATGAAGAAAATACTGTTTTATTATCAAAAAAGTTGCTAAAAAATAAATTCACAATAAATATAAACAGTTAGCAGGCTACAGAATGTGCCATGAAATCCCTGAGAACACAGAATAGGTGGTCACTGAAGATAATGAATACCATTATTGTTTAGTTGGCACTTTGGCAGTGTTTTTAACCACTATTTATTGTTTTCATTGTCATTCAAATGATCCTATAGAACTATTTTGCCTGAAATTTTTTCACTGGTTTTTCTACGTCAGTGTCACTGCTAGGTTGAGAACGGTCCACCACTCAGAAACTGACCACAGATGTAAGGCTGGAGCACATGTGTCAGGCTCCAGTCCTTGCAGGCCAAAACACTGCAGCTCATCAGGTCATTAGCAGAGCCTTCATAAACTGAATTCAGAGCACTTTGGCCCAGAAGGTCCCGACTTTGACGTGCCTGAGCTAGAGGATGGCTAACACAAATCATGCATCAACAGATGGGCTACAGTCTCTGTGTGCCAGTAACACTGCAAAAATTTTATTTTGTCAAGTGAATTGATCTTAAATCTAGTCAATATAGGTAATATTTGTCATATTGGAAGTGTTTTAAGATTATTGCAAGATCTCATCATATTATCAGATAATTTCGCTTGTTTCAAGTATATTTTCTAAAACAAGCAGTATGTATGTGGTAGATTACCAGTGTGCAATACTAGTTTACATACACTCAGAGTCAAATCTGAGGCCTTTGCACATTACTCAAATTTCTATCCCAGCTGCCCCATAATCTGTAGACTAGAGTCAACTAGCACTGACTCAGCCTGAATGAGAATCAGGGCTAAAATCGGAGTACAAATCATGTAGTGTAACCTCAGCTTTACGGGTAGCTTGAATAGATGCAGTGGCTTATTTCACATGTCTCGTAGCGAGTAAGTAAGTAAGTAAGTAAAGTTTATTTATATAGCGCTTTTTACAATAGGTGTTGTCACAAAGCAGCTTTACAAGGAAATCAGCATTACAAATAGAAATCCAGGTCCAAACCCCCATGAGCAAGCCAGTGGCGACAGTGGCAAGGAAAAACTCCCTAGGAAGCATGTAGTGGCCTTCAGCCTCCCAGCTTGGTAACAGGGGGAGACCTAACTAGTAGATAAAATGAGCCACGACTGAAAATTGGGTTTAAAAAAATTGACTAAAACGGAGGAACAAAAGCAATGTTTACTGTCTTCCTAATAAAAGTTCAGGCGCTTGATCCTCCTGTTCAGCGGCTTATAGACATGTGGGTTTACCTGCTGGGGGATTTGGAGATGCTGGCGATGGAGGAGACAGAGGCACTGCGAGAGCTGCAGCAGCTTCCTCTGTGCTGAGGCCTCCTGCTGGCACACTCTACTGGAGACCTGGAGGCACACGTAAGCACACGTATGCACACAAAAGCACATAGACACACACGTGTGCACGACCACATACACACACAAATTACTAAACCTGCCAGAGCCATTTCTGAAACCAACTGAGTGTAAATCACTCCTCCCTGGCAAAATGTCATCTGCATCCTTTTCAGAAATGAAATGGAAAAACAACAAAAACAGGCCATCTGTCCTACAAGCCACCTACAAAGCTCCAAAATCAACGGATCGCATTTAATATTTGATTAAGGCTGAAAACGGTCGAGGAATCCAAACTCACTTCTTTCTCAGTTTGCTCTTGTCTTTGTGTTTGTTCTTCGGAGTGCCCGACCTGAGGAGGAAAAAAAAACAGAATTGATGGCAGTTTAAAGAAAGAGAGCACAACTGAGTTTCTCTACCGCAGAAGGAGAAACACAGTGAAAGGACTGAATTTGATGTAACCCTTAGTATTTTATTCCGAGGACTTGTTTAATAGACTGACAGTAGTCAAGGGCAGGTTACCCTAGCACTGAGAGATAGCTGGGGGTTAGAGTGTGTACGAACCTGTGTCTCCTCTTTCTTCTAGACCCAGATGCAGACCTGAGAGAGAGAGATTTGAGGCTGTGAACAAAATCTCAATCAGGGACTGCACTGAAATCAGATGAGGTTTAACCTATAATAGAAACACGACTACTTTTCACTGGCCACTTTAACGGAAACATCAAGAGTACAATTCTTGTCAATTCTAGAATTCTGTGCAATTCTAAACGACCATTCAGTACAAGTTATTTTTTCTTCCAGAGATATGTCTCAGGCACATGTGTCAAGCTCCAGTCCTCGCGGGCCAAAACACTGCAGACTTCAGCACACTACCTCACTGAACACACCTGATTCAGCTTATCAGCTAAATAGCAAGGCCTTCATGAACTGAAATCAGAGCATTAGATGAGGGTAAATGCTGATCTCCACAGCACTTTGGCTCAGAAGGTCTAAAGAAGGTCTGTGTTTAAAATTACTTAAATTGCAGGAAGCAGAAAATACAACCAAATTTTAAGACTGAACTTTGAAAGTGTGACAGAAATATACACAATTTTTGTTGATAAACTGAAAGCAAGTCTTCTGAAAACAATGGAAGCTGTAATAAAGCCAAAATGGACAGACTAAACACTGAATAATTTAATATTTAGTTGTTGAGGCTTCTGAGGACTTTTTTTGTTAAATATAAGTTTTCTTCTATTTTCCAGATGCTGAAAATGGATAATTGTACTTAAAGCCTGGTTTGACCAAAAACAAAATAAATGAAAAAGTGGTATCTGATTATTGCGCAGTACTACACCTTGCTTAATGCTGTTAATCAAAATAGCTGTTTACAACACTCACATATTGCTAATGTACATAATATTCCGGGGGTGTATATAATATCCACATGAAATACTCATTTTACAAAGCTTATTCCCAAAAAGTTGGGACAGTAGGTAAAATGCAAACAGCATGTATTTAAACAAAAACAGTACAGAGACAAGATATGCAAAATATTTCACCTTATGAACGTTTATCAAACCTCTCTTCAAACCATTAAGGTCACACAGACGTGTCATAAACATGATAAATATGGAGGAAGCCATATTTGTGAATACCAGCCCTAGTGTTGTCTGAAATGACTGCCCATATTGGTGAAGTTCATTTTGTTCATTTTTATAGGTCATAGTAAATCACACTGTGCTCTAAACCCCATCAGCAAGTCTGCACAACCTGAAGACTTGGATACAGTTTGAGCAGGTTGAGATAAATTTTGTTGGGGATGTATTTTTATGAAACAATTTGGACTATTTAACTTTGAGTTTCAGTATTACTTAGCAATGTTAGCCTCATAGCTCCAGTTCTAAACTAAAGAAACAATATATGGATCTGCGGTAAGTGAAAAACTGGATGAATTTGACGTGTATATTTTACTTATTTTCAGTAGTTTCAGTTTTAGTTTCAGTACCAACTGGACATTAATGACCATGTTATTACTTTACATTTATATTGATTGTACCTGTGCACTGTCCTTTTTTCTGACAGCATATGTAACTGATGGTGTTGGGAAGTGTACAAATGTAAGTAATTGGGAGCCCTCCTGCTGCTGGTTGTACTCATAGCAGTATGTGTTTTTTGCGTGTGCTGTTTGTGAAGCTGCTACCAATGAACCAAGTCATGTTCTCTGTATGAGGCTCTGCAGGAAAGGGAGAGCGAGGGAAAGAACTCAAATAAAGCTGTCATGGCACCACAGGGTGATGAGAAAGTACTGTTGCAGCCCTCCTGCTGTTCTGCAGAGAGACAGAGACAGAGACAGAGGAGCGTACAAACAGCAACATTTACATCCTTATTCCTATAATTCCTCCTTGTCTCGCTCTCTCGCTCTCTCTCTTGCTTCCACTCCAGCCGCTTTGTCTCCTCTCACTCCTTTGTTCTGTCAGAGAACAGTATGTTTTATGTGGGGTGGTAAGTTAAAAGTTAAAATTCAATGATGCAAGAAAAACAAGCACAAATTCATGCTTTACAGAGAAAAGAAAATTGCATTCTATCTTGCTTCGTGGCCCATCCTACATGGTTAAGCGAGACAAAACTGACTGGGACAGGAAAGTTCTGAGCAGTGCAGGTAAAGAACAACAGAAGGTCACTGTAACTCTATACACTGAGCTGTTGTGTGGCCTGAAGTTTTTGTTGCAACAGGTCACTAATCAGCATAATTAATCATTAAAATTCTAGAAATATTACTGTAATTTTTTTGTACGGTTTAAATTTGATAACATCATTATATAATTAACTGTTACATGATACACATTGTTATGTAATAAGTTACATTTACATTCAGTTTACATTCTGTATCAACCAGGACCTGAGCGATATATACTGAACTGGTGAATTAGAACCCAAAACACCATAATATTAACAGACTGCTACCAATTGATAAATATAAATGAGGAGTGCATAGAAGAGTGCAATATGGTGTACCACAAGGCTCTGTTTCAGGGCCCTTGCTGTTCTCCCTTTATTTACAGCCAACATGATATATAATTCGTAAATGAAAAAATAAATCTCTCGTAAATAAGGGTTAACATAAACCCTCCTAAGTAAGGGTTAACATACTTTCTGCATAAGACTAACATTCTAACACACAACAAAAACTTTTAAAGAGGAGAACTAAATTTGAAAATGATTATTGGTAGTGTTACAATATTTATATAATTTAACTGACTGTGACGTTCTGTTGTTTATATTGAGTTTAAGAAGCGGAACAATTAAGAACTGACAATCAAATCCATCAGTAAGGCAGCAAGTTTGAAATTAAAACGTAAAATTTTAATCTAAAAATATATATTTACCGATATTATTAGCTATAGGAATTTTTAGCCTCCTAAAGTGGGTATTTTGTTTTTGATTGAGCTCATATATCAGGTTTGAGTCTGTACCTTTTTCAGCCTGTTTCAACGTCAAATGACAAAAACATAGAAGAAATGTAAAGAATGGATTTTGTTTTAACAACACAAGACCACACAACAATAAATTCAAATTCATCAAATTCAAACAGAAAATATGTCCTACTTACATACACAAATGTGGTATTTGCTTGTTACAAAGAGCTACAAGTGAGTACAGTATCAAATATAATATTTCACCATGTTTTTTTAATCTACTACAGACTGCAGTACGTCCTGTTGCAGAAAGAGGGCAGTCGGGTCCCTGCATTGTGTGAGTGTATTATACACTGACCATTGCGTTTTACATGGTCAGTGTAAGCTAAACCTGGGCCAGTCACAAACTGTCATAACAGTCTTCCACCCCTCTCTCTCCACTCTTCCTCTAGGATATCTGACTCAAGGGACTCATCCTCCTCTCTTCTTTTCTCTTCTCCGCTCTCAATCCATAATTGATTAGGGGGGTATAAGCGAGACTAGCGGGCCAGTGTAACTCCAGTGCAACATGAGAGGGAGAGATAGAAGAGAAGCAGAGGAGGGGTGCGACAGAGAATGATAGGAGGGATGGAGGAAGAACAGAGGGGAGGATTGTGGGTATTTTGGAAAAAGGCTCATTTTTCTCCTCTGAAGGTCACGCAGCGTCCGAGTTTTTACAGGAACCAGTTCATGTCAGAGAGCGAGCGAGGAAGATAGAGAGAAGGAGAGAGAGAGAGACAGACCTCTCTTCTCTCTCTTTTCAACGCTGTTTTTTGAGGTTATTATGAGAGAGAGCTTTGTGCAATGTAATGTAGGAGTATGTAATGTAACCTATATTTCAGGCAGATTTTGAGCCTCATAAATATTTCATGAAGCCCAAAAAAGCTTTTGCCTAGCAGATGCTATTATTTTGCATGAAAATGTGTGATGCTCAACCAACGGTTGGCAAAAACTGCTATTTTGCCAACCGTCAGCTGAACAGTTCTCATTCTCTCAGGCTCATCAAATCACAAAAAGATTATAATAATAAAAAAAGCCGGAATAAAGTAAACTAGACGGGGAGGAATTTAAAATACTCTACAGCATATCATCATTTAACAGGCACTGTAGTTTCCCTCTACTTAAAAAAGCACCTGCCCATTGGCTTCTATTACTAATGTGTCTGAGTCAACGGGTTCTCTCCTCTTAGGGTGCATTCACACTTGGCAGGTTTGGTTCGATTAAAACGAGCCCTGGTGTGATTGCTCTGTTAGCGTGGTTCGTTAGAGCAAGTGAGAATGCGGTCATTAAAACTCTGGAGCGCTCCAAATAAGCAGACTGAGCTTACTGAGGTCTTGGTTTGCTTCAACTCTGGTGCGGTTTGTTTGAAGTATGAACGCAATAAAGACCAAAGACGTCTAAACAGACCAAAGACAGGATGAACTGCCGTCTACTCTCTGCAGAACTTCTTTTGTACATGGAAAAGACGAGTTTCTGATGCTGCTTTGACACGTGCTTGTGCTTTATCATCTCTTCTCAAGCTCTAAATTGATAAATATAGAATGGATATATTCAGTTTTAAAACGGGGCTGAGGCTTGAAGTCATTATAAAATACTTGATATACACATCTGACTGCACATATAAACTGCATTATGTATGAAGGTGCCAAGGTTTCTCTGTTTTAATAGCAGTGAGCCACTCGAGGCTGTTACAGGGATTTCACCCTGCATGGTGTTGAGCAAAACCACAATAACACAAGGAGTCTCGTGGCTTATTGCTCTAATACCACAAGACAGACAAAATAAGACATACATAAAACCAATGAGCCCAGTTAGAACAGAGAACTGGAGGATTCAGAAAGGTGGGCATTATCACTGTTATTGTACATTATAAAATATGACCGTCTACTTATATTACTTTTGTTTACATCTTTTGGCTCAAACTAGAACCAGAACTAAAATGTTAATGGCAGCTTTACTTCACATGTAAATACTGAATGATGAATGAACCAACAGAAATCACCTGTAATAAAACTTCACATTACATTAACTGATTAAATGACATTGATTGACATTGAAAGCTAAAGACTTACTTCAGACCAAGTATGAGTATGAGCATGTTTTTCAGTTCTCGCTGATACTGAGTCTGACACCATAATGAATTACATACTAAGAATTAAGTAGATGTTGGTGTAAATGAGTGCAAAGTACATCAACAACTAAATCATTAAAATCTAGCTGGTTTTAAATGAAGTGTACTACCTAGCTGTGCTATATTAGTTATGTTTGATTGAGTAGTGCTGCAGTGGAGAAGAGCAGATTTTGTTCCATGTCAGAAAAGGGCTTCTGTACAGCTGTAAGTAAGTAATGTATGTTTAATAGTTTTGACCCCTCATGAGGCTGAGACTGCAGAAGCTGTGATTTGACGTATGAGGTGTGCACTGCCGAAGAGTTTTCTGTTGTATTTCAGTTTCAGCCTCTACCAACAGAGTTGCTCTATCTGTCTGATGTACACTGCATGCTAAAATCACCACACTTCTTAGAATCTCAGCTCTCACAGAGAATTTAAACTGGCTCTGATTATCGGCGCTTTACTGGCTTTATCAGTCCAAACTAAACGCTAGTAGCTACAGATCGATAAGCCATCCAGAGTGAGACACAGGCCTAGAAAACATCCCCGCTATACTGTTTTGAGAAGTTATTCAAGTAAGCAAGAAATCCAGCCTTTACTCATGCGTTTGTTTTTTGTTACAAGTACGTCAAGCCAAAGCACTTCCTATCTCGAAAACCTAGCTGGTCTGACTCACGGGCCTGTATTTCTGTGCAGTCTTACAAAGCTTGCAGTGGAATTTATTTAATCTTGTGTTGTATTTCCAGACAAATAAAGTCATTTGGGCTTTAGCAGAAAAAATGATTTCTGTTCTATCCTCCTACTCACCACAGTATTCCTGCAATACGTGTGTTAGAATTAATAAATGGACAAAAAAGAAAAAAAAAGTAAAAAAGTAAAATAAGGTTCACTAGTGGCCACAGACACATAAACACACACCTGTCTCTCTTGTGCTTCTTGCCGCTCTTCTTCCTCTTTCCTCGCCGAGTGGGGGAGGAGCTGTCAACTCTGTGGATCAGATTACAAGAGACAGGAAACAGAGGGATGAGACTACTGTGTGCACACATATATACACACACAAAGACAAACAAAATACATCCCCCCAGACACACATGCACCACTGTTCAAAACCCTAGAATCACTGTTTTTTGATAAAACCAATTTAGCTGTAGAAATAAGCATAAAATGCATATAATGAATCAGGATTAATCATATTAGTTTGTGTATTGAATTTTATCTATCTTAGTTGTGCAACTGACCTTAAAGAAAAACCTTTCCATTTACAAGCAGTGCATTTTGTCATAGCTATATGAGTGGACAAAATAAGTTTCATCAGAAGGTATTACCTTCAGTAATTCAGTAACATTACTTTCATTATGTGAACCCTGCATTAAACATGAACACGAACCTGAACATGACAAATACGTGATTTCAACAGAGTGAGAACAGTTTCCAGTTTTCATCACCAATGTCTAGCCAGAGAACAGTGGCTGCATGTTCCAACTAACAAGTGTGTGAGTGTGTATGTGTGTATATATATAGTCACTGGTTCCAACTACTCCACGATTGTAGCCTCTCGTTCATACACCTTGATTCTTGTTACAGTGGAGGCTCTTGGTGTACTGTCCAGTGTAGTGTGCTGAAGTTTCTGAAAGTATCACTTTAAAAGCCATTTAAAAGCTGTATTTGAGCGAGAGGGCTACAATCACAGATTCAATCAAAGCAACATGCATCAGTTTTAGCCTAGAATTATGGATAGTTTGAAGAGTCAAAACTACAAAAATGCATTATCAGGATTTTAAAAAATTATGGCGTTAAATTATCGTACTAACACATTAATGTGTCAACTTTGACAGCCCTTATAAAATGATTCTGTTATGATGCAATACAACATTATACATTTCAAATACTTAGTTAATTTTTTCTAAAAAATCTGTCTAAGCTGTATTTAGTATCAAGAATAAATTATAATAAAATCAATATCCAGAATGCCTCAGTTTTGAACAGTGGTGTTCAATCTCCAGGCAGATAACTGGACAAAAACTTACTATTGATAGACAGTAATATTTATTATTTACTAACTTCTTGTTGTTGAAATATTAAATAAAATACTACACTACATAACAACAGTATGTGGACACCACTTCTAATTAGTGGGTTAGGCTTTTTCTGGTACACAAATTGCTAACAGGTGCATAAATTAGGTGTACAGTCATCTATCTCCACAGACAAACACTGGAAGTAAAATTAATTATGCAGCAGAATTCCAGAGAGATGAATCTGGATGCCAGGACTATAAAGTTTAGTGGAGGAGGAATAATGGGCTGGCGCTGTTTCTCATATTTTGTTCCTCTTAGTTGTGCTGCAGCACACTTTTTCAAGAGAATGGTGCGACTGCAACTTTGTGAAACAGTTTGGAGAAGGTCCTTCCCTGTTTCTGTATGAAAGAGCCCCCGTGCACAAAATGAGGTCCATAAAGAAATGGTTTGCCAAGTGGTGTGGATGAACCTGACTGGCTTTCACAGAGCCCTGATCTTAACCCCCCCAGTAAACACCTTGTGAGGTATGAATTTAGAGCCCTGACAGTGAGCTGGGCCTCACTGCCCAACATCAGTGCATGTCCCCACAAATGCTCATGTGGCTGAATGAAAGCAAATTCCTGCAGCCATGTTCCAAAATCTAGTGCATGGCCTTCCCAGAAGAGGGGAGGCTGTTGCAGCAGCAAAGGAGGACAAATTTCATGTTAATGCCCTTGTTTTTTTCTACGAGATGCATACATGGATGTGATACTCCACATACTTTTGGGACTATACATAAAATGATTCTATTATGTCTAAAATTAAGATGTGTCTAAAATGAGGAAGAATTGTACATGTCCAGCAAGTCATGACCATCCAGATCATTTGTAGGTCTTTGTAAGTCTCAATGTTTAGCATTGTACAGCAAGATATACATTTGTAGTTCTTCAATTACAGACTGTAAAAGGGGACTAACAGAGAAACAGATGGACTACAGTCTGTAATTGTAGAACTACAAAGTCCACCTATATAGTAAGTGGAGCTGATAAAATGGACAATGAGCGTAGAAACAGGGAGGTGGTCATAATGTCATGCCTGATCGGTGTATGTACAAGATATACATATTCACTGTTAAATGTTGGTATCAACAACAAGCAAAAATACTGTCATGTTGTACCCAAAATACTTAAAATATTCAATAAAATATCTACCAATACTGTCAGGTGTCTAGTTTTTAATATTTAAATCTACATCCACATTGTACGAATCACTGTGATATGTAAAGTAACCAAAAATATTAATATGACAAGTGATTTCAGATTTTTATTCTACATCTGTGCTAAAATGTCTTTTTGAATCTGAACTGCCTGGAGTTACTGCTCTGGCTCCGTGTAATCTCATAAAATTTGTTGTGACTCTCCTGCTTGTCACGGTTACCTTTCGGTGCCACTTCAGTTTGCTCTCCTACTCTTACTGTAATTCTCTGGGTTGTTTCTTATGGCAGTGTGCATTTCTCTCTCTCTCTCTCTCACTCTCTCTCTCTTCCCTTCAGATATTGCCTTGATTTTTCTGGCTCCCCTTTTCACTTCCTATAAAAAACCCCTTCAGACAGTCTCGATTCTGTCACTCATGGAGCTGTAACTATGCAGCACAGTTTCGCAAATGTGCCACTCAAATGCAGTGCTAAGCCGAGTCTTAACTCCAGACTTTAAATAAGCAAATACACGAAATAAACCTATATGGCTGGGACTTTAACAGCAATGCTGCTTGAGATGTAACTGAGCTTTTGCAAATACAAAACCAGCAGCTGAAAATCCCAATTCAAAGGACAATTCCACTGATTTTTCAAAATACCTGCATAATTTGCATAACGATTAAGATGTAAATAGTCATGCAGTGTGGTATGATGTGAAATGCCCCATTCTGGAGAGTCAGAATGGTTCCCACTGGTGGTGACAGGAACCAGAAGTCTGAAAGTTTAAGGCCTCAAAAAGCTCCCTCACACATAACATTAAATGGTTATGAACATGCTGTCAGATACCTGAGACACTGTTGTACAACAGTTTTGAGAAGACTGTGGCCTAAAACATATTTGTGAACCATTGTAAAACAGTCCCTAAAGAAAACCTATTTTTCAGATTTTATAATCATCAACATTACAAATAAAAACTCAGACGACATGTCTAGGTTCACTTTTGATTTTGGATACTAAATAAAATAGCTAGAATTACATTGTAGACAGCATGACTCCTGGTTCCTACCACCGCCACTGTAAAGAAATGTGTCAGCAAGTTTCTCATCAATGCACCAGTTTACATCAAACCACTATGAATGACTTTGTTTACATCTCAATGATCGAATTAAAAAAAAAAAATGGGATTCCCCTCTAAGTAAGAGTATGCTCCGCTAATGCTTATTAACTACACATTTTTAAAATAATGTCAAAGGCACAAGGTTCATTAGTTTGAACATTAGGCTACATTAGCTTAATTAGCCAATACGCACTCATAATAGAACATCCAGTTCTATTATAAAGTTTGGGTGCTCCTGGTCAAACTGCATTTCCCTGCAAAAAATGTGCGAAGCCCTAAAGATAATAGTTTTTATTGATGGTTTTGGGCTAATATTTGGTCTCACAGTAAACACAACAGATGTTACAACAGAAATCAAGAAGCGCTACAGAGGTCACAAAAATGAAACAAAAAGACATGTGCTCCTGGGGCATGGGTGCAGAAAACTAAAAAGAAATGGTTCCATGCTGGGAGAGGCAAAAAACCCAAAAAAGTATCCATCCACATCCACAAGGCATGTGCAAAATAAATCCCAGATTTAGAAAAAATTTTAGAAAAGTATAAAAAGCCTTTATTAAAACATAGCAAAGTAATTGCCTTAATCTATTACCTCCTCTAATGGACTTTGGAACAACCTCAATGGCCATTGTTCGCCACGAGCTAGGGCTCGAACGTTTAGCTGCCTTATAATGCATGGCCATAGAATAGTTAGGGTTCTGGGTAACAATAGCATTCTTATGTTCAGATCATCTATCTCTAAACCTCCTTTTCGTAGGACCAATATAAAAACAACCACATTCACAATCAAGTCTGTATACTACAAAAGTAGTGCACTTAAAAGTAGTGCCTTAGCAATGTTTTTCAACTGTCTGAAGTCACCAATGCTGAGTGGAACAATACAAACTCTTCTTTCTATAAAAGGCTGTCTGCAAATTTACCCACAAAACTTAATCAATTAAAGAAAAAAATAGGAAAAATATTCCATATTTACTTCATCTGTTTGTTTAATGATTTGTTGTTAAGAACTTTAAAAAGCTTAATGCCTGCCATTTTGGGACTGGCCCCTTTTTTTTGCACAAGAGTGTATATGTTTTGTTGATTTTCTAAGTAAAATAATTTAACACAGAACTAATTTAACTTAATTTAACTACAGAAAAACACTTCATATTTAATATTTTATTTTTTCCAATATGTTAAACTCAGCAATGGAAACTGTGCACTAAAATTAGCAGAAAAGTGCCATATTTAAGTGTGTTCCCTGTAGAAGATGTGTTCACTTATATTCACTTAGAAAATCAACAAAACAGGTAATTTGACCAGGGGTGTTCAAACTTTGGCACATGTCTATATGCATCAAAGCAGCAGCTTTAAGTTTAATAAAGCCACGTTATGCTTGTTATTCTAAAATAACAAAGTAAGAAATACTAAACACAGTACTTATTCAGACAGGATTAGTTAACCAGTCATTGTTTCTCTGCATCTTTCCTCAGGTTGGAAGCTGAGTTGTAAGTGTGAAAAGTGGAGATTTCCAAGTTTCGGGAGGCATATCTGATAGTTCATGATCTCTTTAACACTTTTGAAATTGAACAGAGATGAAACTGACACTGCTACGCTTTGACTGCCTTTGGGAATTTAACCTTTTAAATTTTAACCAGTTTCTCCTAGCTAGTTTAGATGCTAAAATGCAAATTCTGCTCTGTAGTGGCTATTAAAAACTATGGTAGTGAGGTAAAATACTTTATTATAAATATACTGAAGTAAACATAAAAGTATGATGATTTAATTCTACTCAGAAATGTAATATTACATAGAAAGTTGTTTTTCTGTTTATGAACTACAGCTACTTTCATTTTATTACTTAAGTACACAAAAGTGATAGGTGATGCTGAAGTGACTGACCGGCTGTGCCTTCTGCCTTTCTTCTTCTTTCTTTTCTTTGGTGCAGGAGAGGGTGAACTGCTGGACTTCCTCTTGGTTCTGTTAGAAAGAGAACGCAGCAAAGGAAGAAAGAGTGAAGGACGAGCCATGGTACTATACGTGCATACGACTGTTAGCGCAGTAGACATCGAGGCTTCTGGTCCCCATCACCACCATTATACAGAAATTTGAAAGCTTTCTTCACACAATTTCACATCAAAACATTCAGAATTACTCTGTTTGCGTCACAGAGAATGAATTTTTTTGAAAAATCAATGGAATTCCCCTTCTGTACTTCTGCTCAAGCTATATTTTGTAATGGTACATTTACTTTTCCTTATATTACTGAAGTAATAGTACTTTCACTTGACTATGTGTTTAGGCAACTCTACACACCACTGACTGCCACATATGTAGCAATATAATTACAAATACCACCTGTGATCTCTTCTACTACATCACTCTCCCTTATTATCTCTCTCTCTCGCTTGCTAATTTCTGTTTATCCTGTGCTGACAGTATCTGCTTCTGTGTGTGTTTTACTGCAAATGCACTCCTGGGGGTGTTGGTTGACAAAGCAATACTGAGCTGAACTCTGACTTTCTCTGTATAGAATGTAGCTGCTTATGCGATCCTCTCTCTCTCCCGCTCTCTTCTGTGTAGGCACACAGAGCAGAGGGCATGATATGTTCTCTGTTCTTACCTGTAGTCATCGTGGGCGACAGAGTCACGATCGTAGTAATCTCCATGCCAGTCGTAGTCTTCCTCGTAGCCAACGGCAAACGCGCGGCCCTCGGCATCCTCTTCATCACCATGGGGCAACATGGTGACCCTGAGATTAGAGAGGAAAGATAATGTAACTGCAAACATTCTTCTGCTACAGCACACTTAGCGCTTAGAAAGTGAAACAATTCATGCGTGTACCACAGTCTACTGCAGTGAAGCAGCTCTGCTATTTAATATTTAATGTTTTATGATGCCTTTTGTCTTGTCTGCTGTTCACACTGCTCTACCAGGTACTGTATGTATGGTGTGTTATGGTATGTTAAGTGTTGTCCCTGCTGCACTTCGCACTACATAGCGTACACTATAGCTTTTCATTATACTGTATACTTGTTTATAGGTAAAAGGAAACTTGCCAATATGAGTGGGGTAGAGGGTAGTATGACAACAGATGGGCTACAATGTGTAACTGTACACCTATATAGTGGACCTATAAGGTAGGTGGAGCTTATAAAGTGGTCAGTGAGTGAAGTACGTCAGTGGGCCTCATTCACCAACCGTTCTCCAGAAGAAATTCTTAAGCAGTTTTTCCAAAGATTCCGACATTCACCAATGTTTTCGTATTTGGGATTTGTTCTTAGGTAAGAACAGAATCTACACACTCAAGAGCACAAAGGTATGAAGAATTCTGCAGTTTAAGAACACGCCATGAATCTGACGTAGACTTTTTCTTAGGACTTTTCCAAAGAAAAAAGTGAACTAAGATCTTCAAAGTTTCTTCTCCCTACAAAAGTTTTACATTCATATTTACCAATCACAATGCCATTGTGAGATATTCATTTTTCAGTGTCAAGAAAAACTAGAAATCAAATCATATTATATATAATAATATATTTAACAGAAAATGACACAGAAGACTCAAAGGTTACGTTCACATTACCAGGTTGAAGTGGCACAAATCCATTTTTTGCCCTAATGTGACTCAAATCTGATGTTTTTAGGGCTGTGTGGACACGCAAATCTGATCTTCTCAAATCCGACCTGAGCCACTGTTATATGTGGTCCTAGATCGGATATGTATCGGATTTGTGGCCATGTGACCTTAATGTGAACGCTCAGATCAGATTTCATGCGCATTTTTCCACTGCACATTCGCAATCATTCAGCGTTACCATGGCAGTAGCGCCGAACTGACGTTAAAGCCTGTAAACGGTGGAAAAGCAACGTATCTTATCTTTATCTCCTTCGTCTCGCTCTAATAATGAACAGCTGAGAGCTGTGACGTTACTGAGTAGAATATGCGCATGCGGGTGATTTCAGGACGTTGGTTCATTCACATTAATGGAAGATCTGAATCACTTACCTAAACGATTGTGAACCATCGTGTCAGAGAAATCGGATTTGAGCAAAAAATCGAATTTGAGCAACAAGGCTTGTAATGTGAATATAGCTAAAAACTAAATATCAGTTGTTTCAGTATTTAGTCTGTCCACTGTTTGCCTTTATTACAGCCTCTATTCTTTCCAAGAGAGCTGCTTTCAGTTTTTCTAAGAAATCTGCAGGGCTTTTCTTCCACTCCTCCAAAGTTCAGTCTTAGAAGTTGGTTGCATTTTCTGCTTCTCACAATCTACCACTAAGTTGATACCAGTACTGTTTTCTCTATTACTTTCAATCATTTTTTAACCTTTCAGGAAATAGAAATAGACTGTGTACTTAATGGCTGTTTTGGCTAGAAGCGAAATAAATGAAAAGTGGACTCTGCCTTCTACCCAGTACTGTGTACCGTACACTGTGATTCAAGAGACTCTAGAGACACTAGTGATTAGTACAGACATGTGCACACCTGTGAACTGAAGAACTGCAAGAAGGGGCAGAAAGAGGATTAGAGGGTGGCTCCTACCATCTGCACACGTTCCGTAACTGTGTGTCCGTGTGCGTGTGCTCTGTTGAGATGCATTAAGCTCCTTTTGCGTATTAACATCATGATCTGCCCCATCACACTCCCCAGTGCCAGTCAGTTCCCTCCACAGTCACTACAGCCACACAGTCCCGTTAGTGCCGCAATTATGTGCCCACTAATCTCCATACAGTAATTGCCATTGGTGTGATTTCTTAAGCGATGCTAAAACCAACAACCTCGCTGCGTAGCCTGAGGCTTTAGCCCGAGGCTTTACTCTTTTTGGAGTCAGAACCCTTTCGTCTTCTTCATCTTTTCTCTCCTTCACTCCTGCTTCATTCAAATGGGCTGAAAGCTGCATTTTTGGTGGTTCTACCAGTAACATTTCACTAAGGGTGCATTGAAGGAACGGTTTTGCACAATTTGCATGTAATCGATCGGACAAGACATATTCAGCGTCCAAATTTTTGCTTCTTTAGGTTTCCACTGGAGTTACAATGCCAATGAAATAGAAGTCTATGACCCCCAAAGTCTTGTCCATTAATACATGAATACAATTTTTCCTAGATTTGCTTCAAATGCTTCAACATTCCTAGGTTGTCCATAGCATACAGCTATGCTTGTATATGCCTCCTCTCATATTTTGAAGAGTTACTTTTCACTCATAGAACAAGCAAAGAAAAATTCTGTGGAAAGTGCAGACTCTAAACTTTCAATCCATGCCACATTTGTGTTTGTTTGTAAAAGAAGCAATACTTTATTATGATTTAAATGTAATATTATTTTTTGCGCAAATAAAGATTAACCGCTCAGATAAACAGCTTTAAAGTCAACATGAAATGGAAAGCGCAACACATTTTCCTTCCGTTCTGGCGTATTTCCAGCACGGAGCCACAACTGTTAGAGCTAGGCCTCCAGTTTGGGCCATAAATGTAAAACTAAAAAAAAAAAAAAACTCTATGATAATGCTAATGTCTACTAGCAGACCAATTGGATTCTAATAGTATGTTAGCGCTAAGCTTGCATATGAACGTTTTTTCATGTGAACTTCATTTTTACATTAAACACAGATATTCAACCCCTAACATGAACAAAGTTTTATTACACACTTCTATAACCTAAGCATAGCTCAGCCTGTTTAAAGTCCCTGTAGTTACTGAATAATACACCTTAGTATGTAATAAGCCTGGGATTTTAAGGGGTTAAAACTTATGAAAGACATTGCATATTTTGTTTGAAGCTTGTAACATACATTAACATATATCATTGCCTTGTAGCAGTTTTACAGTGACTCTGTGAGAGGAGACCCCTGCCGTCAAGCTGCCGCTGCTGTTTTCCATTTCTAACAACTAAGTGAGACCTGGTTAGACCATGGCTATTATACATATCATAGAAATTTCAGAAGGTCTAGAGTGACTTTCTTTTTCACAAAATTGGTCCAACCTATTGTAAATCTAAATATGATTGGTTTATACTGTCACTGTCACTTCCTAGTTATGTTAGTGGTTAATCTGACTTGTTATGCCTTCAGTTCAGCTCCTGAAGTCCTAATCAATGGGAGAGCTCGCTTGGCTGTATCTACCTACATACCACAGAGGGAAAAAAAGTCCTGATCGCATAATTTTACTGTTGGGTGTTTCAGTATTTACCCCTTTTTGTTTCCAGTCAAACGTTGTAGAAATAAGAGTATTACTACAAAAACTTACAGAGTTTAAACAGATTCAGCAAGATAGTTCTTTTAAATTAAAATGGACAAAAAAGTACAGACATATTTTCACATTAATCCCAGAGGGCTCCCAAATACATATTTCTCTCGAAGACAGGTGGGGCGGTGGAAGGAAGAGATGAAACATGATACTGTTGGTTAATACTACATGTCCTTTTATTCATGTCTTATAGGATAATATTAAATATTAGGTATTAAACAAAGATATTTTAGACACAGACACCACTACATTTTTGATGGAAAATTATAAAAAATATAAAATAAAAATATAATATAAAAAAGGAATTTTGTTGTTTACATGGTATGTATGATAAAGTATGCTTAATATGACAGGCACATGCACTTTTTAGGTTGATTTTAGGTTGATTCTAAATATAATTGTCTTTATTTTTTCCCAGAATTGTACATTTGCTTTACATTCTGTATCATTAAGTTTTCACTAGTTATCCCCCCCCAATTTTTTCCCCAATTTTAGTTGTTTCCAATTCCACCCTCTAGCTAGGACTCCACAGTCACACAATACCACCAGCGCTAGGAGGGCGAATGCTAGCACAGGTTTCCTCCGAGACCTGTGAAGCGCCACCACATCTTTTCGAACTGCCGCAACGTCATTGGACAGCTGAACATGCTTGGAGGAAAGCACCAACTGTCTTCGTCAGCTAACAGACGCCTGTGCTTAATAGCATCGCGTTCGAGTGATGGGGGGAGAAGGGTCCTTTACAATTATGTAATCATGTAGCTGCATTTAAATCAGTATGTAAGGTAAACTGAACATATAGCACAACAACAACAACAGCTCTAGACTTTGAAAGGTTAAGGTCTTTATGCCTTTGAGTTCCATCCAGTCTCCAAACACAGCTCAGCAGCATGACTAACTTCAGTGACCTCTACGTCTTTACAAAAATACATCCCCTGGTTACTGACAAGATCTATACGTCCTGCTACAGTGTGAAGGGCTCATTTATTATAGCAGGTCACCCCGTGGCTGAATGACTTCATGCTCATCTCTGACTGTCTCTGATGCCCTGACGATTCATAACAATGAATAAGAGTGCACTCAGCAAGCACCTCCAAGCTACACTGCAATCCTGCAGTAGTCATAGATGCAATAGACTCTGAGTAAAGAACATAATCATGCCTCAGGCTTTATAAAGCTTTGCAAGTAGGCACTGTTGTGGTGTATTAGAGAGAAGCCCATATTCTAAGCTTACACTTCCAAACTACAGTGAAATTGGGCTCTTTCACAGCTCAAATAATTCAATATACCCGTGTATATTTGTGATCAAACTGTTGCAATCAGGGCTTCCGAGCCAGAACCAACAGAGTTTATGATATGAGAATGACTGTAGTGTTTCAGCACGTTCATCACTTCAGTGTATAGTTATTATTGTCATTTGCCTATACGATGAATTTACATTACATATTGATTGACAGTTATTACATAAGTACACAGGTAGTTGTTTAAAAAGGTACATTTACATTCAGTTTACATTCTGTATCGGCAGGTTTATGATGTTTTTTATGCATTACCAATCCTAATTCTAATCAAATTCATATCATAATAAAGTATCTCATCTTTTACTTACAACCACAAATGTGGTAAGGACTGTATAGAATCCATATTTTCAAGAGACTCCACTTGTTTCAATGACCTTATGTTCCCTGAATAAAGGTACTGAGTGACCCCAGTGACAGTTTCATACCTTTTTTTCTGAGAGTGTAGGGCAAGTTAACGTTTAAAAATTGTCTGAACTTTTTTTATTGTGTTTCAATAACCTATGAGTGAATAATAGTTCAATAGCAGAATCTGGCTAACCCTCTTTTTTCACCGTAGGGCAGGTTAACTTTTAAGAATTGTTGTAACTTTTTTTATTGTGCCCCATGCAGCAATACAGGAAGTTAGGGGGTGCTGAGGGGGCATTCCCACATTTCAGGACTGCACTATGTACGATTTGGGGATTTGGAGACCTTTCTGGTGGAAATTGCATGTCACTGCATGAACATTTGTAATGCCGGTTATGCTTTGGACTCCTGTCCCAAGTGAATGATTGTGAGAGCATTTAAAGCGTATTCAACGAGAAGTCAGTCGAACTTGATGAAGAACATGTTTTCCGAAGATGTGAATTATCTACTACTGTTAACACATCTTTATCAGCATAATGTTAATTTTGCAGATGGGATCTAAACATCAAGTCGGACCTTCTTTCTGAGTGTGTGATATTAATAAGTACAGGCGATGATGTGGTACGAAAAACTCCCACGGAATCCGACCTCTGACTTTAAAATGATTATTTCAAGATTTGACAGCAGCGCACGCTCACCATATTTTAGCGTAAAGGAGAAACGTATGCAAAGTTGTAGGCTATGTCTCAGCCCTCAAGGCAGCCTAACACTGTTTTTTAAACTTAATGTTATAATGTCCCATGTTTTGAGTGTTTTTCAACTATTTGGTGTATGTTTAAGTGTTGATTCGTCACACTGTAGCTCAACTCTGAGCTTGACACAATTGGTTATGATGCCACATATCAACAACCTGATTGGTCTTAACTCTTAACTCTTTTGCATAAACTTCGTCCAGAAGCAGAAAGAGCAGAGGGAATACTGTTGTCCCTCGCCACATTACAGCATGTTCTGTTTGAAGTTTTCACTCGACTTGTTAAAAAAATTCTTTTGCATGAGGTCACTCTGTAGGTCACTGCTCAAAATAGCAGAACCCCCAGCTAAAAGCACCTTTCCGTGTCCTTGCTTCCATGAAATAACTCTTGCTAGTTCACAGCCTGAACCTGTAGCAAGAGTGTCCGAGTGAGGACGACGATAATTTATGACATCAGAATTGCTGTAATTCCTGTATGATCATCACATTAAAAACATATTTAGAACTGTTCTTGTATGCAGTGCTGGAGCTGCTGCACTGGATGAAAGAATGACAGGGAGGGAGGATGGTGGGATGAGAGGAAGAGAAGATGCGCTTGGCTGGATGAAGGATGCACTGTTATTAAGTCGGTGTCCCAGGGTTACTGGCATGATGTACGGTTGTCGTGGCATCTTCGGGGCATGCTACGGCATTAACAGAGGGCCATTTTTTATCTTTAAAGCAGCAAGCTCTGTGATCCTCAGAGCGGGGGCTTAGTTTCTGCTGCAGCAAATGGAGAAGAGAAGCATTTGCAAGTGTGATGCGAGTGTATCTGTGAAAAAAATAATAACACTAAATCTAAAGCTTTTATTTTTTTGTCTTGTGTAAAATACTGTATGAAATGAGACCAAACATTATACGATAAGGATGCAGATTTTGCATATTCTTTTGACCGATAATCGGCCATCGTTAGTCAGTAAATAATTGTTAAAAGACAAACCTAAAATCATGGCTACAACCCATGAAAACATCAAACAAAGCAATGCTATTTACAAAAAAAAGGCTTTAGGCTTTACTGAATAAAAGCCTAACATAACAGATATGACAGTAACTTAAAGTAGCCTACTTACTTACATTTACATTTAAAACATAAAATATAAAATGTGCCATATCCTTTGCACAGACCACATTTTATGTTTTATTTTTTTACCTAATATGTTAAATTCAGCAAATGAACAGTAATTGTGCATTAAAATGTGCAAAAGTGCATTTTAACTTTTTAACATTTTAACTTTCAAAAAATACAATAAATATTTAAAATAAATAAAAACATTTCATTTTTTAAATTTAAATTAAAACATTCTGGTTTGAAAATAAATGCGTACAAAGGCATCATCTTCACTATTTGTGTTTGTCTTTGTCATTTGCATATATATCTTAAATATCATGAAAAATGCGTATCACTGCTGTCCAAAAAAAATTAACGGCATTTTTTTCTTTTTTTGCAATGAGGGGACCAAATGAAATGCTCCAAAAATGCTTGGAATAAAATTTCTGTACATTAACTTACATTAGTAAAGAATGTTTTTGCTTTCTTCTGTAAAGCTGCCATTTTTGGAGGTGGGTTTTTTGAACAGCGATGATAGTAGTACATTTGGCACTGGGAAGAGTGGTCTTCCTGGCACTTTTACACGTCAGGGAGTGTGTTTATATGCACTCAATAATCCTATCATGATCTGATTTCTGCAGTTATCTGATTATTTAAATGGCCAAGTAAACAGCATGTGCAAAAACAGATGGTGGTACCAGAAATAAGCAAGCAGCTTATTTCTGAGATGCAGCAAAACACTTCTGGAGCAGAGCTCAAACAAACTACATTCTTGATGAAATGAAGGATTTAAATATTCTTCTGATTGATCTATGCTCATATTTTCAGGTAAAGTGGTGCGATGTTTAAAAAAAAAAAAAGTCGCGACACGAAGTTTGAGTTTTACGTTACGTTTACGTCTTTTTCTTTGAGTCTACTGGCTGGTTGCAAAGCAGAAATCTGATTACTGTCTGACTCATTTAGACACAGAGTTTCCTCATTATCTGATTACCCAAGTGCATGTAAACCCGTTGGTCGGATTACTGACAAAATCTCATTTTCAGCTTTTATCGGATTATTCAGTGCATGTAAGTGCACTTAGTGTCACTGCTAGGTTGATAGTGGTCAACCACCCAAAAATATTCATCCAAGGGCGTCTGTGGTCAGAACCAATGATGAACTGCTAAAGCAGCATTTCCCAACCCGGTTCTCAGAGACAATCCCTATGTGGTGTGGGTTATGTTGGGGCGAAAACATGGACTGTTTGGGGAGCCCTGGTGGTTGGGAAACAGCGTGCAAGAGGACAGTTAACCTGAGTTGTGCATGGTAACTGTACACCGTCAAGGTGGAGCTCTAAGATAGGTGTTTCTAGTAAAGTGGCCAGCAAATTTAAGTGTGAAGCATAATTTCAGCACACGTAAGCTACATTCATGGATGGAAGGTTTCTAAGAACAAATCAGGCCTTTCAGTACTGGTTAACCCCCTCATTAGTCAAGCTCAGGAGGAGGGATGTGTGTGTGTGTGTGTGTGTGTGTGTGTGTGTGTGTGTGTGTGCGTTCCACTGTGGTTATATGACACTGTAAAAGCAGCACTCTAAACTTCAGAGCAAACCACAGCACTGAGCTAAAGATCTATAGGAACCACAGTTCAATGAGGCCTGAAAGTGATTAATGATTGCTCCCTGTGTTTGTTTGTTTGTGTGCTTGTGTGTCACTTACGGTGGTCTCGGGTGAGATCCTTCTCTGGTTATGACTCCCTCTTTCTCCATCAGCATCTGCCGAAAGGTCCCGACCTTCTGCCGGATCTCCTCTTCTGAGTATCTACACAAAGAACACACGCACATTAACTAAACTGTGACACAGATATACACATAATATACATGGTTGACTAAAATCAGCAGTTATCATAGACATAAATTTAATAGTAGAAGTGAAAATAGCACCAATGAAAGTGGCTTGTGTTACACTGTGATGATACCCTGCCCTCATATGAGGACAGAAAAGCCTGTCTACATGGTCCAACAAGAGAATCGCTTATTTAAGAAGACTATAATTGATTCCTACTTATTTGCCAGTCTTTATAGAAAGCTGAAAATAAACAGTTGCTCATATTTAAAGCTGAATATGTAAACCTCAACAAGAAATACCATTAAAAATAACAAGGACTTGTAAAATACACCCAAATTAACCTTTATAACAGGAAAAAATTATAAAAACTAAAATCTGACAAAAAATAAGAAAAATTGGAGCTACTTAACTGAAACCAACAAAATCGCTAAAAATCTAGAAAGCTCTCACACCCGTGACCACAATATTTATATTATTCAAATTGTTTCTGTTGAATTTGACAACTTGACAATCATATAAGCCATTAAAGCACTGTTTCAAGACCTCATTCACACGTATCCGGATATTTCTGAAAACACAGGGCTTTTTCCTTCGCTTTCAAAAAAATATTCATCCACTCCAACGGCAAACAACTTGAGAATGCATATAGGCAGCCAGGTAGGTGATAATACCATAAAATTTGATTTCAAACACCTGAAAAAGAACATTATGACCACACGTACTGCACAAAACTGAAGCAGAGGTTTTCTAACTAAGTGATGGCTGATTTCTGCCAGAAAATAAAAGTTAAAAAGCAAGAAAATGCGTCCTTTGCTGCGGTGGCTACACCACTGTCTCTGAAATGCCCAGGCAGTGCTGATCAGGTGGAGTTTTTCTAGCTAAACTCCATTTGAGAACTGAGCACAGTAAGTTGTGATGTCTTTGCACAGCAGTATACTGAAAACGTCAAGGTAAATTCAGTGATAAACACATTATCAACTCCCACATTGCCTTGTACACAGAAAGTCAGCCATATTTCAGACAGAGTTCTGCAAGCTCAATAAAGGAAAACAGCAATAATCATGCGCAAATGAATGCTGTGATATCAGCAACTTCAGAAAGCTGTGTTCTGCCTGTCCACACAAAAATCAATTTTCAAAAAGATAGATTTTCAGTGATACAAACAGTGTTTTAGTGTGGACGGCAAAATGCAGAGAAAAAACTTTGAGTGAAATAGGATATTCAGGAAATTCGGGTGAGAAATAATTGAGGGCGAGACGTGATTTTATTCTCCAGGATTTGACAGCATTGTGAAAAGCAAACATGGAGTCAGACTCTGACATGCATTTACATGCAGCCAGAAAGTTTGATCAAACATGACAGAAAACGTGAATTTTGTGTTTTGAATTATGACAGTACACAGTGGATTGTGCTTAGTATGACCAAGGACATGAACTAATAAAGCAAAAAAAGGTCCATTTTGATTTCAGGTTGACTTTTTCTTTTATAATTGACATTTTATTTGCACACAAAGTCAGGTTCACAGGTACAGTGACATTAGTAACTTAGTTATTACTAAGTTATTACTAAGTAATAGTTACCAGTGGACATGACATGACCGTGCCTCAAGGTAAGATATAACAACTGCCATATTTGCCAGAACTTTTCTGAGTTAAGTTATTTGTCAGTTGCTCTAAAAGAAGCACTTTTGTAAACTGGGACAACCAGAAATCAACAGATGGAACCTGAGGAGTCCCCAAAAGTAAAATACATTTCTTAGCCAAAGAAACTTATATAGAAACAGTTGCTTGTACGGTTGTTTTACAATCAAGTACAAATTCCATATCAAAGTTTAATAGGACCAAACCAGGAGAAAGGACTAGGCAAAGTTTCAAGTTCATGGTGGATCCCCTTCCAGTAAAACTGTATCTTGTCACATAACCCAAAACAGTGCATATCTGTACCTCTTTCCTGTTCACATTAAAAGCAAAGAGTTGAGCAATATTAAGAGATCTTACGGAGGTGAACTGGCATAAGGTAAGTCTTATTAATAACTTTAAGTTAATTTCACAGAGAGATGTCAAGCATACTCTAAGCTGTAGGCCTTCCCTAATCAATTTCCAATCATCATCACTTATGTTCATTCCCAGATCTCCCTCCCACACACCCTTCAGATAAGGTAGAGATGATGTCCATACACCAGACAGCTATTCAGGTCGTCATTAAATGTGATTATTTACAAACATACTGGCTGATATTATAGATTTTCAGATTTTTTCCTCCTTAAAATTGGTATCAGTATTGGTGTAAACCATATCAGTCGAGCTGTAACACATACACTCACAGGTCTCAGACAGCAAGATCAAGAGAAAGAGAAGAATGACACTGCCAGCACGAGGCCATTCACTTTATCTCTCTCTCTCTCGATCACTGATATACGCACCACAATAACCTTGCCTGCCGTTATGTCCACTACAGAATAATCCTGCATCAGAAACAGCGACAGTGAGTCAAATAATGTGACACATCCGTGGCGCATGAAGGACGCTAATAGAGATATCACACACAACAGCGAGAGGTCACAGGGACAGCGAGCGTGTGTGCAGAACAGCATAGATCATTCCTCTACTTTCAGTCTGATCCATAACAGATACAGACAGCACTGAACTGCAGGAGCACCCTGTTCTCCATCAGTCTAACACGGCTGCTAATTCAAAGCAGCAACCACTTATAATATCACAAGCATTATGGAACAGCGCACTAATTGTTGGGAACGTACCAGATGATGAAAAGTCCATTTAGCCATGTATTAAAAGTAAATGAAGCACCTCTGAAGTGTGTCTTCATGTCTTCCTCCGCTGGAATGATTTCATTTCAAGAACGTAGGTCTGTTTAGTGTGACTGTCAATAGACGTTCCTTATCACTTTGCATATACACTTATTGGCCTCTTTGTAAGAAACACCAGTTATTAAACAGTAGCATATCTGTTGGCATGCATGATTTGTGTGCGCTGTTCTCTAGCCCAGTGGCGTAATAAGTCATCCTCGGTGTCGTATGAGAAGCTTTTGGACTGCGCCCGCATACGATCCCAAACTAAGCCCAACATAGTAGTGCCAAATCCACTCACAGCCAAAGTCTGTACTAACTGTCATATCCAGCACAACAGTTTGATTAACTGTTTGACTCAGTTAAACCTGCAATATGTAAAACGTTTTTTTGTTACATCTGAAAAAAGTAGCATTATTCAGTCAGGAGAAGAAAAAAACAAAAACGCTAAAATATGGTTTGTGTGCGCTGCCGCGAGTCGCCCTGTAAAGCCTGAAATAATAATGTAAAAGTCAAAGGCATCAGATTGGATTCTGTGGGGTTTTTTGGACCATGTCACATGCACAGGCTCAAAAAGAAGGTCCGGCTTTAGGTCTTAAATGCAAAATCAATATTATGCTGATGCTACATATGTTGACAATAGTAAATAATCCACTCACATCCTTGGAAGACGTTCTTCTCCAAGTTTTGACTGAATTCTCCATGAACAGTCTTTCACTGTGCTTGCGATGATGAGACTCATCCATTTGAGTCTGAAGCACAACGCACTTTACAAAATGCTCTTCCGCATGTTGCATGCAGTTACACATTTGCTCTATAGGGGGCTCCAAAATCCCCAAAACTTACACAGTGTAGCTTTAATCAAATGTCTGATTCAATGATGAATTAACATGTCAAGTTAACATTATTACCTGTGGAGATTCAGTTGGACTGGGACAAAGACTGCCCATTTTCTATTCATCCCAATATCATATCAAATCATAGCAAAAGCACTGCTGCAAAACACGAGGGCACAAGCTTTGAAAATAACCACAATAGTGGCAAAATAATATATAAAAATAGAGCAAATAAATACAGTAAACCTCATATATATAGACTAAATCTCATATCAATCTTAAGATATCATATCAATAGACTAAATCTCATATAGAGGTGCAAACTTGAATGAAATGTTTGGGAATAGACTCTCAGGGTATTGGGTTTTTTTAAACCCCTTAAAATCCCAGGCTTATTACATACTAAGGCTTAATATTCAGTAACTACAGGGACTTTGATTCAAACTGGCTGAGCTATTCTTAGGTTATACGGCTTATGGCCATTTAAGGGGTTGAGTCTCTGCAGGCACATCTTTTAAATAAGTGCAGGTTCAGATTCAAAATATATTCACTGAAGGGTAAGTGTTGAATAGTAACGGTTGCTAAGCACCGACGGGTGGGCTAAGAAAGTGAGGTGGGGTTTGGAATTGGTCAATGATGCACTGATAATAAACAGAGGTGATTATGCAATGAATACACAAGAAGCATAAGCTGCATACCAAGATGATACGTCCTGCTTTAGCCCTAAGGGTCAGTTTCTGACCACAGAGCCACTCTTGGCTGTATATTTTCAGGTGGTGGACCACTTGTGACCTAACAGTGACAATGACGTGTGTAAAAACCCCAGCAACACTGCAGTGATACACTCATTCCCGCACCAACCATACTACCACGTCAGTGTCACTGCTGTGCTGAGAAATTATCCACCACCCGAATAATATCTGGTCAACAGCGGTCCTGTGGTCAGAAACTGAACAGTGATTAAAAGAGCTGAAGATGGCTGATAAACATGGATGGACTAAAGTGTAACTACACACCTATATAGGGGAACTATAAGGTAGGTGCTCAAAAAAGTGGCTAGACAGTGTAATTTTAATACCCACTACTAAAATAATAATAGAGTCATAATGGACAGCCAAAGTCAGCAAGGGTTTAAAGTAACAAGAACAAATCACTTACAAAACGGGCACTGAGTTGTCACCCAGCAATCAGGCAAACAGGAAGCACCAGGCGTTTCTGCCCAGGTGACCATCAGTTCTGCTCACACACACTCCCACTCACAGTATGGCAGCAGAGCCGCAGGGTGGACGCAGCTCTTCCCCGCTGATCTGAAAGCAGCTCTGCTGTAAGCC